TATGTAGCCCACCGTGTTGGAGAGCAAGCTGCTTTCCTTAGACAAACGCAAACGATTTCTCTAGCTGCCAGAGTAGCAGGTGGCTTTGTGCAGGAAGACAATTGAGAGAGGAAACTTGCAAGTTCCATGTGGCTCTTCTGCTACATTGTAATACGTGCCCCTGATAACAGCAGGAGGAGACCCAGGTTATAACACCAGGGCTCCTCTGGATGCCATCAAACCTGCCGGTGACTTGGTGTAACTTTTGCTTCCCTTACTCTACTCACCGGGTGCCAAACCTCAGAAGGAAAGAGCCACAGCTCTGAGCAACCTCAGAGTGTGACTGAAGGGCTCGAGAGCAACTGAGAATGTGAGGCTTCTGTCTCCCGCGTGACCTGCAGCTGCCAAAGCTGTCACAGGCCTGGCCCTGTGGGGACACTTCTCCTTAGAGAGGATGAGAATTAGTGTTAAAGTTAATGGTTATTTCCTCTCTGTGGATTTCAAAGGATGGTGAAATCCATCAAAGATATGGAAATACACCTATCTTACATGTGACTAACATATATATAATATATCATAATGCATCCCATTAGTTGGGCTAATTGGTTTGCTTTTTGAACCCAGCTACCCTCCCCCCATATAGTACCATAAGATTTATCTTTACCCGTTTCCTCAGTCACACACACTATCCTTTTACTTATAAAGGCATATACACTCCATAATTATGCACATTTTTTTCCATTTAGAGTCATAGAAACTACAAGGAATAGTAAGAACAAGGATGTGATGTTTGTTTTGCAAACAGGGATTCAGGAGCTTCTAAAACGAAAGTCTATTTAGGCTGGGGTAGGGGGGTGGTCAGAGAGCATCCGAACATAGTAGACCCATGGGAAAAAGTCAGCCCCTGGCTCCAAGCCACGCAGTTGGCTTTTGCATTTTAGTCTAAGAGATGATTCTTCATGTTGTGGCCAGGGGAAGGGGAGAGCTAGGTGTTGAATAAACACGCCTGGGACTGCACTGGGCCATTTGGAACACCCAGTGTGTCAGTCACTGCCTGCTTTCGCCCGTAAGGAATCTGCTCACTTTACCGAAACTAAGCCGAATGTGACTGCTTTCTAGAAAACACACCCTCCCAGAGGGAGACCACTCCCTGGGGCTCATGCTACTTTGTGAGAGAATTGGGAGATTTTATTGCCAACGAGGTCTTCTGCACACTGTAAACTCTGTTTCTTGTAAGATTCTAAACGTGTTTTATGTTGTCCCCGCAGCTGGGGACGGGAATGGGAGGCCGAAATATTGATTCGTCCTGGCTGGCTTCGCCCCACCTGAGCCGCACGCAGCGTGGGGAAGGGTCTCTGGGCAGTCAGGGCCACACCCCGGTGCGAGTGCTCCTCCTGCCCCCTCCGGGGTGGGGGACGTGGGCAGAGCTCTCACAGTGTGGCCAGCAGCCCACCCACGGAGCAGTGGTCATTTTCATGTCCTTTATTCTTCCTGTCGGTCGGCCATTCTGCTGCTCCATCACTGCCTGGCACGCAGTGGGGTGAATGGGGCTTTTATACAAGGTCGGGAAGCCCTAAAAGTCCGTGGTGTGTGTGCACAGGTGTGTGTGTTCAGTTCTTCCACCGGATAACCTGTAGTTGCTCCGCGGAGTAAATTAATCTTGTTGCACGGATCAGAATTTAGCACCTCGGCAGCTGCTGTAGTAGACTTTTACACGGTTTTCCTAAGCGGAACCGTCAGAAGAATTTTCATCTCGGCTGCTGTGTGGTTAATTACACAGACAACAAGTATGTGGCCCTGCCTTCCAAACAACGGCCCCTTTCTTGGGAGGTTAACATCCGGAGGATGTTGTGGAAGACTTATAATTACTTCTTCATGTTCTTGATAATAAAATGACCTTTTAGCTGTTTGTAATGAAACGATCGCTTTGAATTTGTAGATCCGTGGCAGTAGCATGTAGGGGAAGTGAAAACATGAAGGCGTTTCTGCACTGGCGCAGCTTGGGCTTTTGTTCCCAGGCCCTTGGATCCTGTCCTGTGTGTTTGGACCTAAGCAGGGCCGGGCCTTGCTGTGTCAGCTGGGGACGAAAGGGGGGGACAGGTTTACCTGAACTGTTTGCAGGAACTTCATGCAGTAACCCCCAGCCTGTGCTCACCACACCACCTGGAGCTGCCAGCCTCTAAATCTAGGGATACCAGTGTCTTCCCCGCTGCAGAGGGGACTGAGGCTGCCAACCCAGAGCTGTTTCTAAAATGAAAAATGCTGAGGGCTTGGGAGAAAGAGAGAGCAAGTGGATGCAGGAAAGAGCGCCCCCTTGAGTTTGGAGTTTGAATTTCAGTAGATTTTCTCTCAACAATTGGCAAGAGAACAGAGGAAGTGAAGTATGTGACACGCTTGCATGTCATCCCACCGCCCTCCCCGTGTCCTCTTTCCAGTTCTTCATTTTTTCTTGGGTACACAAATGTCCCATGAGAGAGAGGGGGTTGCCTGTGGCCATCAGAAGCCAGAAGTCCTCCCGTTTCTTCCCTTGCCCAGCCGGTCCAGACTACTCTGTTACAACATCTGAGTGCCATCCTCTGAACTCACGACGTTTCTTTTTTTCTTTATTTTTTAAATTTTTCTCACAACATTTCTTACATGTGTTGTCAAACAGCACATCCAGTTGAAAATTCTGGGGCTAGTTATTTACGTTCCAGCAGGCCCACAAATCAGGTATAAGTTGTTCGTAGCCCCCTGCTATGGACATGTGGCATTTGGTCAAAATCAGGTCATTCTGGCTCGGTAGCTGGGTCCTCCTTTGAGGGGAAGATCTACTTTGTTCCGGCGTGGGGTGCGGCGAGGAGAGGGAAGGAGAACTTTCCAGCTCGTACAAGAGCCTTGCGTGATGCTGAAGGTGCAGTGAGGCGGCTGCTTCTGAGGCGGGAGCCCGAGCTCCCTGTCAGTTTACCTCCCTTTCTGCTCCGGGTGTGAGAGGAAGAGCAGCCAGTCGGCGTGAGGGGCGGCAAAGTGGCCAAACCACACACTGCTCGGTGGCGATTTGATGAACCACCATTGGCTACAAAGCCAGAGACCCCTCAGCCCTGCAGCTGAGGGGATGGAATGATTCGCAGTGGGCTGAAGAGCGTGTCCAAAGGACAGCCTTGGGTCCAGGTCAGAAGCTTGAGCGGTGCCCAGTGATCCCATTTTGGGGGAGAATTTGATCCACTAGCTGGGGAGAGGGACACGTGAGGTAACAGGCTTCCAGCTTGGGGTAGAAGAGTCACGTCGTTAAGAATGAAAATGGAGGAGGAGGATTGGGTTTCGGAAATAAGATCATTCACCCTGCTGGAGACGTCTGGAACCTGTGTCCGGGTAGAGAGAACATTTGGGTATAGATTCGGCATCATGAATGGAAACAACGGCGAAGAGAAGAGGTTTACAGGAGGAAGTACAGGCAGAAAGGGGAAGGTGATGGCCAGTGGACGCCCGAGGGACACGGACACCTTGGGAGTCGCGAGGGCTGGCCTGGCCGGAACAGGAGGGCGCGTGGGGAGAAAGGCTTCCCAAGCTGGCGAGTGCAGGGTGCCCGGCGGGGGCGACCAGCCTCCAGTCACTCGGGTTGATGGTAACCTTCCAGAACCATTGCAGGACAGCGGCAAGGATAGAATTAGAAGAGGAGGAGAGGAAATTAAGGCAGCTAAGAGGAAGCAAAGGCTGGAGGGGTCTGTGGCTGGGGGGAAGAGAATGGAACAGGTTGAAGATGGCACTCGGAGAGCCCAGGACAGGGCTGGGGAGCCTCATGGGTGCTCGCTCTCCTTTTCTTTTGGAGCAGCTTTAATTGCCCATAAGGTTTGGGTGCTGTCAGCCCCGCTGTGGTGCGGTTGACTCTGTGCGCTTGGTTGGAACCAGTGGAACAGACTGTGCCGTGGATGGCCTGGTCTGACGAGGCCAGGAGCAACCTGCCTCCTCCTGGGTTTGCTTAATTAAGCATGCACAGCCTCCCTGCCCTCCTCTGTCCTTTGGAAGATCTTTGAAGAAGCAGACATTGAGTCAACAACAGTCGGGAAGATTCTCAGCTACCGTTATCTGTGTGTGGGGGGGGTGAACCCTGGGGCCACCCTGATGTGGGTGACAGCTGTGTCATTCCATTTTGAGCGCCCCTCACTTCTGCCTAGAAGCCCGACGTGCGGATACTTTTTTTTTTTTTTTAATTCATCCCTTTGAGGTAAGTTGGCCTCTAGCTATCCTGAGCAGCTGGTTTGATGGTATTAGCCAGGTTGGTTGTTGAAAATCGTGTTTTAATTGTCTCTGGGAAATTCTTTTCCCATCGGTGGGCAAATGGGCAGGTGTGCACCAACACAGTGGTTGGGTGTGTAGACTCAAACTAGCCTAGCCACGCTCCCTGCATGTTCACACCTTAGACCAGTTCCTTAGTTTCTTTATGCCTCAGTTTCCTTAGCTGTGAGATGAGGGTGATAATGGCACCTGCCTCAGGAGGTTGCTATGTGGATTAAATGGGTTAAAGCCTACAATGTGCTTAGCTCGTGTCTGGTACATGGACAGCACTCAGTAAGTACTCACCGCCATTGTTGTTACTACATTTCTCTCTGTTGTTTAAACCCCTGAATAATCAACGTTGTCTGGGTGTATATTCATATAACCACAGCTATAGGATAGGATCCGTTTCATGTGCTGGTTACTAGAAGTGTGACCTCCATGCCGATCTAATGATGCTAAAATCACCCAAATGTGGGTGGAAAAGAATATAAAATAAGACTCATCGAAAAGGATCAGAAATTGGTTCTGCCCTGTCTCTTTAGGAACATAAATGGAATTGTTTGTCTGCAGGATGAGTGGGGTGATTTCAGAGTCTCCTTCCAATGCCAGCATTGTGACCCCATGAGAAGTCCGGGGAGGGGTACAAACAGGCGACTGGAAAGGAAGCCATGGGCTGCTGTTTGCTTCCAGGGCCGGGCACCTTCCTCCCGGTCAGGTTGTCACTGCTAACACTGTGCGCTATCGACCCCTTGCCTTTGCTGCAGGGAAGGCCGCTCAAACGCCCACATCAGAGGAGATTACCAAAGAATCGGCGACGTCATGCTGAAGAACATTCAGGGCATGAAGGTGAGCTGCTCGGGACTGGGGTGGGCAAGTTTGCCAGGGAAAACCAGGCCAGGGCTGCTGGGGCATTGGCTGTGCTCCCGGAGTCACCGTCCACACCCAGCGCAAGGCAGCAGGGGGTGACCGTTTGGTAAACTGCTCTTCCAGCCTTTCTGGATAATTTTATTTTGAAGCATGAAGGAAAATCCAGTCACTTTGGGGAAAGCCCTTTTGGTAGTTTTTTGTTTCAGAAGCTCTGCACTGTACCCGAAACAGGTATTTTCTGGGAATAGATCATTCAGAAACTAACTTACTTACCCCAAACAGGTATTTTCTGGGAGTAGATCATTCAGAAACTAACTAACTAACTAACTTACTTGATTGATTGATTGATTGATTGAGGCAGAGTCTTGCTCTGTTGCCCAGGCTAGAGTCAGAAACTTTAAAAAGAACAAAAAGTGTAAACATAACGTTATTTGGTTGACCAAACATTTTCAGTCCATTGTTTTGGCTTCTAAGCATGACAGAAATGCTAGATTTGGAGCTATATAGGAATTCCAGTAAATCCTACCACTTCAAATCAGTGTACAAAAGCAAATATATTTTTAACCATCCAGCAATATCTACGATAATACAAGAGTGAAAATATAACCAAAGAAGTCAGTAAATAGTACACCAATACTCTACTGTAAAGTTCTGAAATCTGCCCCCATGTCTTATAGCTGAAATTTTTATCTTTGTGTTTTCATTTTAATTTATTATTAACTTTTTTAATATACAGAGTTTTAGTTCACACGGTTTACTTTTTGAATACATCGATATTTGCATTTTAAGGCAATCTTCCTATATCTCAACTGCCCAGAGACTAAAATAACCTTAAAACCTAATCACTGCCCGGAGCCCGCTAATAAGCCCCGAGAGGAGGCCCGTGTGCGTGTGTCCCCCGTCCCAAGCCGTCCGTCTGTCCGTCCGCCCCCCCCATGCAGTACTAACTGAGCACCTCTACATGGGAGGCACTCACAGAATAAAAGTTACAGCTGTGGGTTGAATTAATTCCCGTGAATCCGGCTCAGTGAGTTTAGAGCCGTTTTTCCCCTTAGAGGGATATATCTCCCGAGGCAGAGACGTGGCAGGGTGGCGGGTGTGGAGTGGCACCGAAAAGATAGGATCAGAGGCCACTCGAGAGATTTCCTGTCAGTCTCTTTCTCTTAACAAAGATCAAGATATTATTTACCTGAGTTATCGTTCGCCTTTTTACTGTGTTCAAAAAGGCAACATTCTGCAGTTTCACATGATAGCAGAGAGTGGCCGTGGAAGAGATCAGGATTGCAGAAAGTTCTGCAAAAAGAAAAGCAAGAACTGTCCAAGATGTTCCACAACTGCGGTGTTTTTAATGGTGTAAGCTAAGGGTAATGCACAAAACTCAGAATGGAACAGTAACTGGCATCTTTTATTTTCTTTGTTTTTTTGCCCCGGGTAGAGTGCTGTGGCCTCAAACTCCTGGGCTCAAGCGATCCTCCTGCCTCATCCTCCCAAGTAGCTGGGACTACAGGTGCACGACACCACACCTGGCTAGTGTTTTCTATTTTTAGTAGAGACAGGGTCTCATTCTTGCTCAGGCTGGTATCGAACTGCTGAATTCAAACAGTCCTCCTACCTTGGCCTCCCAGGGTGCTAGGATCTTAGGTGTGAGCCTGAACTGACATCTTTTCAACTTTCCATGCTAGTTTTAAAAATTAATATATTTTATTTTTTAGAGTAGTTTTAGGTTTAGAGAAAAATCGAGCAGAAGAGAGTCCCCACATTCTGCCCCCCACCCCCACTGGCAGTTTCTCCTCTTATTAGCAGTTTGCACTGGTCTGATACATTTGCTAAAGTCGATGAACCAATATTGATATATTATGATTAACCAAAGCCTGTAGTTGACATGGACTCATTCTGGGTGCTGACAAATGTGTAATGACGTGGATCCACCATGACAGTGCCACACCAACCAGTGTTGCTGCCCTAACACGTCTCTGTGCTCCACCTGTTCAGCCGCCCCAAATCCCTGGCAACCACTGATCTTATCCCGTCTCCACAGTATAGCCTTTTCCAGAATTTCATATGGAATCATACAGAATGCAGCCTCCTTAAACTGGCTGCTTTCACTTTAGAAAAATGTCCTTTTCTCTCTCTTCTGTAGCACGATGTTGTTGCTGATGTCCCTTCCTGGTATTTTCCTCTCTTCTCACGCTCTGTGCTTTCTCTCGGCCCATCCTGGTTTCTCACTTTCTCTCACCCTGTTCCCTTATCTGAGATCACAAGCGTGCCCGGGGGACAGCCCCCTTCTAGGAGGCCTGGGCTCTGTCATGGGCCTTTGGGGACAGCAGCGGAGACCTGCCGGGCTCATTCCCGCCCCGCAGGGACCGTCCCCAGCATGCTGCTATTTACCAGCTCTCCTCTGTCCCTGTCTCTGGCTCAGGTGCCAGCTCCCCAGCGCTGCTTTCCCGGGGAGAGCTGACGTTCGGCCCTCCTCTCCCTTAACCTAGCGTGGAAGACCTCCTAAAAATATACCTGATTTCTGCTCCTCGCAGTCTCTCTCTCCGCAGTCTGGTGAGCTGGCATTTCTGCCTGCAGCCGGCTTCCTCAGCCTGCTGGCACTTCAGTATTGTGCCCGTGCCATGGGCATTTATAGCATGGAGCTCTGTGCAAGCAAAATAAAAATAGATGTGAAGGCAGAGAGCCGCTGGCAGCCTTTTAGAGAAATTAGTTGGGTTGTTTTTTATTGTGGTGGTTGCTGGTTTTTAAGAATTTTTATAAAGCGTGAAGGGGAATGACAGAAGGTTCTAGAAATGTGGAAGCCCAGGTTAGCACTGTTGTCCAAAATGCATAGAATGTGATCTTTCCGGCTTACAGTGTCTTTGCTGACCTACCCCCGACCCGTGCACCTACCTGCGTGTGCAGGTGCTGAGCGGGGCGTGCGCCAGAGCCCCCCGCCCCCCCCGTTGGCCAGTGCCAGACTCTGCACACAGGAGGGAGGTGACGTGACCCAGGGGGCTTGGCCCGGCCTTTGGCGCCCACCTGAGAGTCAGAGTGACCCAAATCATGATCTCTGGCCCATGCTGTGAATTTCCACGTGCACACATCCTCATGTATGCACAAAAGCACGTGAAAATCAGTGCAAAGAAAAGGAGTTCCCGGCCTTTCATCTGACCCCCCACTACCACCACCGCCAGCCACGTGGGACCTTCACTGCTTCCTGAACTTTCCGTCCCCCCCTCTCTTCTTCAACACTCACAGCACTTTGCTTCTCCTGGGTGTCAGTTTTCGCTTGGTTGCTCTCCTCGGGATGGCCAGGCCTGCCTGCTGGTGAGTGCCCCGCCACCCTGAGACCCACGGCCTCCCAACCTACTGTTCATGTCGTGGCCAGAGTTGTCGTTTGTGCGACACAAAACTGACTCTGCCCAAAACCCTGCTTGTTTCTCTGTGCTTTGGAGGATGCAGTCCAAACTCTAAGCCTGAGGAAGAAAAGCCTGAGGACCCACCCTGGTCCCCAGTGATCTTTTCTGGCCTCCTTCTCCCCACCCTCCACCTCCTCTGCATTCCAGGCCCTGTGCATGCATGTGTCTCCCCAAGGCCCCCACCTTGGCTGGGGTGCAGGCATCACTTCGTTTGCTTGTTAGTACAACAGGCAAGACATTTATTGGGCACCTGCTGTGTGCTCTAGGCCCCAAGGATGCAGCGACATTATCGTGCCCTCTCTCAAAATCAAACAGAAGACTACACGTATGACAGCATTGCACAGAGCTACACACATACATGCACACACACACATGCAAGTGAGGGTGTGTTTAACCAGTGCACTCCAATACCTCTGTGAGCTGTGCCTAGGCCAGCTGCCTGGTGTTGATAGTGTACTCTAGTCGTGTGGGATGTCACCGTTGGGAGAAGTGGATTGGACGTGCTCGGTCCTTCCCTGTACATTTCTTTGCAACTTCCTCTGAATCTCTATTTCAAAATGGAAAGTCAGAAAATAAACCCAGCAGGGGAAGCCGTGTAATGTGGGCTAATCTGGGGAGATATGGCACTTTGTGCAGAAGCGCAGAGGAGCAGGGCTCAGGGCAGGCCCCAGAGCTAACCCTGAGGGATGGGGCATCGTGTGCAGAGGCTCCGGGCGAGAGCCTGGCACCTTCAAGTGCGAGGTGGCCAGTGGGTGGCCTGGGGCGAGAGTAGCAAGAGGTGCCGCTGGAGAGGTGGGAGGGATGCCGTCCTGAGCGCTGTCTGTTCAGTGGCATTTTAGAAAGTTCACTTTGGCGGCCCGTCTCCCAATTAAGTGGAGGGACATGGTGCTGGACAGTGCCAGGCTGAAACAGGGACAGTGACTGCAGGGAAGAGGAGACCAGGCTGACATTTTTAGGAGGGGAAACTAGTGGCACCTGGGGCAGGGTCCAAAAATAGAAAGACTCTGGAACATTCCTCAGGTTTTTCTGTCGCGAGAAGCTGGCTGGTGGTGTCATTGATCCTGCAGTTAGAGAATGAGGCTTGGGCCCCAGCGGACGGAAGGGGCGGGCATGTGTTTGGACGCATTGCGTTTCCAGCTCTTCTCAATGTGGGAGTGAAGTTTTGGTCCACCGAAACTGGACCGAGGTCTGGCCGGGAAGTCCAGGCTGGGCACTGCAGCACAGAGAGGGAGCCCACCCTGCGAGGTGGTCACCGAGTGAGCCTGGAAGACAGCCACTGCTGTCGAGACACCCTCCACTCGTCTGTCTGGAAGTGTCCTGCCCCTGGATCCCTCCCCCTCTGCGGAGGGGACCAAGTCCCTGGTGCCTGGTCTGTCGCACCCTGGAGCTGGCTGTGTCCGGCCTCGCCCGCCCCCGGACCCCGCCAAGTAGGTGGCCCACAGTAGGCACTTAGTTACCGTCCGAGCAAATGGGACGAGTGAAATCGAAATGCATTTTTAAAACTAATGCTTCTTGAATGTCCTGGTCTGTTTGTGGTCTTGGGACATTTAGGAGAAAACTCAGCCCCCTCCAAGGAGCCCTGTTTCTGTTTCCCCTCGGTTTGCCCGTCTGTTTTCAAAGAGCACGTGTCCTCTGATGTCACCTACACAGCTGAGAGGTCTTACTCCGTATGAATTGTAAAGTGCTCAGTGCCTCAGTAGAGGTTTTCATTTCATCCTGAGAACTTAACTGAAATAATGAAGCAAATAGTGAAACGGAAAAAACAGGAAATTTAAGGAAATTAACCGTGACGGAGTAACGAGAGCAGAGGTGCGCTGCGTTTCTGCAAATCAGACTGCAGGCCAGTGGCAGGCCGCCCCCGACGCCTTCCTTCCCTGTCGCCCCGCCCCGCAGCACCTGGCCACTCACCTGTGGCAGCACAGCGAGGCGCTGGAGGCGCTGGAGAACGGCATCAAGGGCTCCCGGCGGCTGGAGAGCTTGTGCAGGGACTTCGAGCTGCAGAAGGTGTGCTACCTGCCGCTCAACACCTTCCTGCTCCGCCCGCTGCACCGGCTCATGCACTACAAGCAGGTCCTGGAGCGGCTGTGCAAGCACCACCCGGCCAGCCACCCCGACTTCAGGGACTGCCGAGGTGAGCGCCCGGTGCCCCCGTCACCCGGTGTGGCTGGGGCAGGAGGGGTGGGGGAGGAGGGTGTCTGCTGATAGCATGTCCCCACGTGTTCATAATACTCATCTGGTGCTTTCTGTTACATCTTGGTCTTCCCCTAGAGAAGGCGCTAACAATCTTTTATAACCCTCTTCTCCTTCCCCTTCGGCGCCATTTTCTGCTTTGGTCCTGGGTGGTTTAGTGCAGAGAAGCCTGGAGAAGCTCCACTCACGGCCAGCCCCCTTCTAGGAAGCTGTCCTCTGCCCACATGGCTGAACTCATTGCTCCCCCCTCGGGTCAGCCACGGAAAATGGCGTGTAACTTAATCCCAGTGCTCGCTGCTGCTGGGCGTTTGTAACCTGCAGGTCACCGTGATAACCACTTCTCCTGGGTTAACTCTTAATCTTCACCAGCCTGGGGCATGGGGAGCTGCCCCCTCAGTGGGGGCTACTGAGAGCGGAGAGGGTAAGGCCTGCCCAGAGTCACAAGCTGGGAAGAAAATGATCTGGAACCTAAATCTAGAACCCATGATGGCGGCCATCCTACCCTGCTGTCTCACAGTGATGTTAGTTACCCGCTCTCACCTGCTCAGCCCCTGGCCAGAAACTGTGCCAAGCATCCTACCAGCGCTCACATCTTTACTTCTTTACTACTTTACACCTTTACTTCTTTAACAGCTCCATTAGATCAGTGGCATTATCCCATTTTACAGATAAGGAAACTGAGGCTCAGAGTGGGGGAAGGGACTGTGAGCATCAGTTAGTAAAAGGTCAGAGCTGGCATTCCAGACCACGCTTTTCCCACTGTGCCAGGCATCCTCCTTTTGAACCAAAGTCCTTCTGTCCCATGTCATCCTCGGTCTGTTGGCGTTGCATTGCCTGGCCGGCCCGTAAGCCCCTCGAGGGCCAGGACACAGAGCAGCCCTCTGCCGGTGGCTCCTGAGCAGATGGCACAGATCTAGCAGGTCAAGGCCCTGAAGCGTCAGAGACACCTCCCAACTCTTCGGCACTGGTGCCATCTTTTTAAAAATCCATCTCCTTACTCCCTTGCTTAACAGCTAACAGCTGGGTGACGCCCGATTGCCTGAGGGTGACATCTAAATTCCTTACGTTCAGGCCGGTCTGGCCTCTCAGGCACCAGCTGCACGTTGAGCACCTGTGCTAGGTGTGCGAGGAGAAGGGAACGATGCGACCCACGGGCAGGTGCCTGGGTAGGGACGGACACCACATCGGGGCCGTGACAGAGAAGTGCCAGCCAGGGCACCAGACTCAGCCTTGGGCCAGGGGGGAGCTCTCCGAGGGAAAGGATGTTTAAGCTTGAGCTAAAATTTAAGGGTTTTCCTAGGTGTGGGGAATAGTTAGGAACAGCACATACACAGGTCCAAAGGGTACTGTGGAACATTCCAGAAGTAGAAGGAAATTCTATGTGGCTACACTGTGGAACACAGAGAGTGAGAAGATGAGGCTGGCATAGTGAGCAGGGACCAGATCCCAGAGGGTCTTACAAACCCCAGGAGGCCTTAACCTAAGAGCAAAGGCAAAAAACAGGGAGTGTTTTAAGGAGAGGAATGGTGATATCGGGTTTGTTATAGAAAAATCCCTGTTAGTATCTAGAATATATAAAGAACTCCTGCAAATTAGTTTTTATGAAGATAACCCATACATAGGAAACCAATTAAGACATTGGCAATTCATGGAAGGGGAAGACAGATGCCTCAGGACGTGGCTTGCTGTAGACCAAGAGTCCTCAAACTATGGCCCACGGGCCACATGCCACCTGCCTAGGACATTTATCCGGCCCACCGGGTGTTTCTGCCGCCGCTGCCTGTCCTGCTTAGCAGCCGACTTGTCCCGGGCCCACAGTGCGCACTCTCCAACGGTCTGAGGGACAGTGAGCTGGCCCCCTGTTTAAAAAGTTGGCGGACCCCTGCTGTAGACCATCCACCTTTCAAACCACTGTGCTGCCTCTGCCCTCCACACGGCCGGCCGCACATTCCATTCCTCCTGCTGGGAGTCATGGCCACCACCTCCCTGGCCTTTCCTGGCAAAATCCTTCTCATCCTTTTAAGCCTCAGCTCTTGCCAGAGCCTGAGGTTGAGCTGACCTCATCCGCCTTGTCCTATTGTGCTGGCGTTGCCAGTCGGCCCTGCCTGGAGGAAGTGACCCAAGGCCCCTCCCAGCTCTGAGGACTCCACAGGTGTGTTGCTCTCATGGCTGAGAAAATGCTTGGTTTTGCATGTGCTGTCCTTGGCACGCTTGCCCAGTTTTCATTCTACTATTTTTCTAAACAGTCCCCAGTGGAAATAGTCCATCCTTGATAATTAAATGGAAAAAAGTGCTTGCCGCTTAGCTTAAAACATGAGGTGGCATCACTGCAGAAACATGGGAACACAAAGTGTGTCTGAGCATAGATTTCCTGAACTAGGGGGGTGCTGAGCGCCAAGAGCCGCTCCCAGCATGCCCTGCCCGTGAGCGCCTAGGGACCGGGGTTCCCTCACCCCGCCCAGAGCCGCCTCTCCCACCCCACTGAGCATCGTGTCCACCCAATGTGTATTGGACCAAATTGGGTGGTAATGTCTGAAGACAGCAAACCCTGGGGTTTGTCACTGTGGTTGAAACAAAGCATTCTGCGGCAAGCTAGGGAGAATTTAATTTGCATCCTCTAGGAGAAAGCAAGAAAACCAAATGCTCCCCTTCCAAAGCTGAAATGCTGGGAGAAGGAGGTATTTAGTTCTGAAAATTGAAGTTCTGTCAGTATTTCTTGCTTTTCTTAACAAAACTCCCCAGATGCGCTCAGCTACTGTGCATTTGCACGCCACCCAAACTTGCATAAATTGGGCATTAGCTCCTTTCACATATTGGATGACCACCATTTTGGGGAAGATGTGCTTATATTGAAAAATAAAGTTGAATTTCATAGTTATTCCTTGCAACCCTCTTGGTAATAAACACAAGGAAGAAGTGGGAAACGCTGGGATGGTAGTTATCGTAAAAGTGTCACAGTATCAATTAGACCCTCTCTCAAAAAGATGTTGACTCTGCCCCAGATTTTTCTGTGGCCTCCTTGTGTTCACTGAGCCTTGTTCTCTCTAGGTGACAGAAGGGAAAAGAAAAACCTCTGCCCTGTGACAAAATTCAAAGCACGCTTACTCTCCTGTGTCTTGCCCCTCTGAGCCATCAAGTCCTAAGTGCAGGACAGCTGTATGCGACATAGCCACGAAGGGGCGATCTACATTTTCAACATGCTTTAGGGAAACTCAAGTAAAGCAGATGCATACATAAAGCAAATCCCTCCATTTTTATTATAGAGAAGTAGCACTGCTGTCCCTCCAGGAGGGCACCTCCCTACAGCGCTGGGCTGGAAGCTGCTGGAAGCTGGCCGGCCATTAATGCCGCCGCCTTTGCATGTCTGTTCCCTCCCCAGCGGCGCTGGCCGAGATCACCGAGATGGTGGCGCAGCTCCACGGTACGATGATCAAGATGGAGAACTTCCAGAAGCTGCACGAACTCAAGAAGGACTTGATTGGCATCGACAATCTGGTGGTTCCAGGGAGGGTAAGCAGCCGTGGTGCCAGTGTGCAGCCCAGGGGAAGACAGAAAGGGGGCATTTAAGGGGCTTGAATGTGAACCTTGGAACACGGACACTCCGAAGGTAAAACGTCCTCGTCCTGCAGCGGTTTCCTTCTACCTGGGAGGGAACTGGGAAAACACGAGTGTTGTTGGGAGTCATTGTGTGAGCAGATACGGTAATCCTCTGACCTCGTGTTCTGCATTTTATACTTACGGGTTGATTTGCTTGTTTACTTTCCCCCTGCCATACCCCAGAGAGGATTTGAGATAGCTTATTTCATCTTTTAAAATCTAGGCAAATGAAAGTGGAAGATAAAGGGGGGGAAAAAAAAAGAATTGGGCAAAATAGTGATATAAAGCCAGAGAGTTAGTATATGAAAGTATGCTAGAAATTACCATGCAAATATGAAAAGTATTCTATTTTTTATTTATTTTTTTGAGACAAGAGTCTTGCTCTGTCTCCTGGGCTAGAATGATGCAGTGGCATCATCACAGCTCACAGCAACCTCAAACTCTAGGGCTCAAGTGATCCTCCTGCCTCAGCCTCCCGAGTAGCTGGGACTACAGGCACATGCCACAATACCCTGCTAATTTTTCTATTTTTGTAGAGACCCCTGTCTCTCATTGTGTTGCCCAGGCTGGTCTCAAACTCCTGGCCTCAAGCAATCTTCCCACCTCGGCCTCCCAAAGTGCTGGGATTACAGGGATGAGCCACTTTGCCCAGCCAAAAAGTATTTTTTTTTTTAAGATGCAATGTTCTGTGCATAATTTTAATTCAAAATTAAAATAACATTTTAGGCAGAAAGCAATTCTGGGAGAGATGTGAGTTCACTTAGCTATATGAACCTTGCTCTCTCCAGCCCTGCCTCACCATGCAGGCCACTCCCGTTACACACAGGAGCAGGGCTTCCGTCACACACACGCCGGCCAGCCAGTGCGGTACAGAACACGTGTAAGAGGCCTACCTTTTTCAGATTCCCTTCCTGGGAAGCAGGCATTGCCGAGGAATCAGATACTCAGTTGCTCCGTCTTAGCAGATCTCTCTATGGCATCTTTACGCTGCTAGCCCCCCCATTTCAAGTCCCACACCATCCAGGTCTGGGGAGCTGCAGCCACGCTGACCTGCCGCAGGCCCGCCTTAACCTGCAGACGGGGGTCCCGCGTGCCGGGGCCTGGGGTCTGATCCCACAGATAGCTGCCCGGGAAACATTAAATCCGTGTAACCCCGGGCACTCGAGGGAAGTCCCCTGTGTGTGGGGGTACTTCTGTCAGGAGGCCTCAATACATGACTGCCTGGAAGCCGAGCTGCTAGAGGTCGTCAGAAGGTTACTGGGAAGGGCCGGGTGCAGTTCAGGCTGGGATTTGCTTCAGCTGTGCTGGTGGCAAGATTCCCGCCAGGCCTGGCACCTGCCAGCCTCGCCTGCCCTTCCGTCAGGAACCCTTAGAAACGCCCTATGGAATCGCTATTATTTTCTCCTCACTTTGAACATCATAAAATATTTAGCCACATGGTGAACAGAGCATTTGTAAAGAATTTATTATTTTGAGGAGAAACTTTCCATGTTACGGACGAGAGAGAGAGTTCCTTAGACGCATCTGCCTGTTACTGGTTTTTAAGAAGCAGCGTTTTAAATCGTGGGCAGATTCCTGTAGCCACAGGACTCAGGTGGCTTCTCCGCCTTCCAGGGTCCCTCGTGCCACTTTTTATATAGCTTCTTTCTTCTTTGAGAACCGGTCGGGGTCCTTGTCATCTTCCTTTCAGCGGGGAACCCTGTGGAGCCTGGGGGTTATGTGACAGTCCTCAGAGAGGCTCCAGCAGGCTCTTCAACCCGAGCCTCAGTTTCCCCTCTAGTAGGTGGAGCTGCCAGCTTCCTGGGACGGGCGAGGCAATGCCTGGGGACCTCAGCGCAGCGCCTGGGCTGCAGCAAGCATGCGGTTCATTGGGACTGAGCACTGAGAGTGTGCGGTGTGGGGACCGGGTGAGGGGAAGTCGGGTCTCGGCGACACTCTGGCTTGTCTCCTGCAGGAGTTCATCCGCCTGGGCAGCCTCGGCAAGCTCTCTGGGAAGGGGCTCCAGCAGCGCATGTTCTTCCTGGTAAGTGGCGAGAGCTGCCGGTCCTGGTGGACCCATGTCACCCTGGGCAAGCAGGGTGCCCAGGCTGCCCGAGTCGGGGGTGGGGGGGGACCTGGGGGCAGGAGAGCAGCCCGAGGTGCTGAGACCGGACTTGCGGAGGGCAAGGCGGGGCGACGGAAGATGCGAGAAACCTACTGACGGCACGTGCTGGTTTCATCTCCGCTGCGCTTCTCCTGGTTCTAGTTCAACGACGTCCTGCTGTACACGAGCAGGGGGCTGACAGCCTCGAATCAGTTTAAAGTCCACGGGCAGCTCCCGCTCTACGGCATGACGGTGAGTGTGCCACGAGGGCGCAGCGTGGGCCTTTCCCCCGGGCAGCCTGCAGGGGGGGCTTGGCAGGCGCCACCTCCTGCACATGGGATGCCCCTGCCTTCTAGAATCAGGCGAAGAGGAAGTGGACGTGGGCCACGTGGTGTGAACTTGGCCCTCACAGCCCTGTGCCTCGCCCTGGGGCCCTGACAGTCCTCACCACGCTGCAATGATGGTGCCACTCGCTGGAGCTGGACCAGCCAGGCACCTGTGCCCCCCGAGACGGGCCGCGCCGGGCTCTGTTCTGTAGCCCTGGGCGGCAGGTCTGGACACAGCACTGGCTTCTGCCAACGCTGTCCTAGGGCTGGAGAGAGGGAAGGCTGCGGGCCCCTCTGGCCTTTCTGATGTTGGTTTTCTGAGTGGGAGCCCGACACGGGCTCCTGGTTCCCCCGAGCAGTGGCGCCACTCGTCTTAACGCCACTGGTCACGCCCGTTCAGGAAGGTTTGGAAAGGCTTGGCTTGCGACTCCACGGTGACATCGCAAACTCTTGCCCCACAGATTGAGGAGAGCGAAGACGAGTGGGGGGTGCCCCACTGCCTCACCCTGCGGGGCCAGCGGCAGTCCATCATCGTGGCCGCCAGGTAACTGGGTGACCCGCCCTTCCCTGCCTGCCCTTTGGCGTGCTGTGGTCTCAACTGACGGCTTCTCTGTCTCCAGTTCCCGGTCTGAGATGGAGAAGTGGGTCGAGGACATCCAGATGGCCATCGATCTGGCGGAGAAGAGCAGCGGCCCCAGCCCCGAGTTCCTGGCCAGCAGCCCCCCGGACAACAGTGAGTGCGGCCAGCGCAGCCGCGCGGGGTGGCGGGGGGTCTGGACTCCTGTCCATGGCGCTTCCTTTTTCTAAAAGTAAAACCCTGAACACAGTATTTGGGAGAGGGAGGCCAGCTCTCCTGGGCCGGCACTGGCACTTATCACACAGTGTCCCTGGAGAGGTCACTCGTGTAGGGCGAGGGCTGCAGACCAAGCTCCCGGGTGTGGAAGGGGCTCCCTAGCCGGGGCCAGTGGGAGGCCCCCGAGTGGGGGCCTCGGCAGCTTCCTGCTCAGAGGGTGCGCCCCCCGTGAGCCCTCCAGCCTCCTCGGAGGGCATCAGAAGGCTCCTTTTCCTGGGGGGAAAGGTCAGAAGTGCTGCCTTCTGCCCATGTCCTGCAGAGTCCCCCGACGAAGCCACAGCCGCCGACCAGGAGTCGGAGGACGACCTGAGTGCCTCACGCACCTCGCTGGAGCGCCAGACGCCTCACCGCGGCAACACCATGGTGCACGTGTGCTGGCACCGCAACACCAGCGTCTCCATGGTGGACTTCAGCATCGCCGTGGAGGTACCGGCAGGGAGCGCCGCGTGGCCCAGGGACAGCGCTTGTCCCCGCGGCTCAGGGGGGCTGGTTCCTGCACCTGCCTGTTACAGCCCCGCCCGGCAGGAAGGACCAAAGCGCCAGGCTCGTCTCTGAGCACACACGGCTGTCCCCGCAGGCAGAGCTGAGTGGGTGTGGGTGGTTCTCTTGTTCGCTCCCCTTTCCTTTCCCCTCGAGTTAGCCTAGAAAGCTCCGAACGTCACGTCCTGGAGCCGTCCCCCAGGACGCGGGTACATGGGGACAGGGCAGAGTTAGCAAGACAGCAGGCGGGTGCCAGCCGGGGTCCATGTCACAGGTCACGGAAGAACCCGAGGAGAAGGGTGAGTAGGACGAGGTGGCTCTGGGTTGTCCCTGTGCAGGGCTAGAAGGGGTGGCCTCCTCCTGCCATCGGATTGAGCACGGCCGACATCCTTTAACAAGAGACACGTTAGTAAAGAGACGCGTAATAAGTTCGTTTAATCGTAGTTTTACATGACACAGGAGCCTTCGGAATGAAGGCCCATGCCTCAGTTGCTAGACTGAGGTCAGGGACCGTGCAGGGCCCAACTGTTCACATTCTTCTCGGCCTCCCCTTCATAGCATTTCTTCCCCCCTGGTTGGGGCAGGACCCCTCTGGAATGAGGTCTTACGACCTACCATCAGACGAGGCAGGCTAGAGAATCTCTTTGTGGCCAGCTCGCAGACAGACCGGCAGGGGAACACTAGAGTCATATTTTAGGATTTATGGCTGGCCTTGGGGAGGAGGATTCTTTTGCTATGGCCAGCCGAAGGGAGAAGGAGGGGAGCAAGACAGGAAGGCAAGGGAAGGTCAAAGATTTTGCTTCTGAGGCCTTCATCTGGGAGCGTCACTCCCTGGGCCTCAACACCTGGAAGTCGGCTTGGATGACGGGTCTCTCCCCGATCCTAGCTGTGAAAACCTCCCAGCCTTTCAAAACAATTCTTCAGGGCTACTACAGCTGTTGCCCAGAAAGCTCGTGGAAGGGGATGTTTGGGGACAGCATAAAGATGTGCTGGCCTCAGCCATGGCACTAGAGCCAGCGGAGGGTCTGAGACAGGACCAGCGTCATCTTTTACGCTTAGAGCTTCAGGGCAGTAGGCAGCGGGGAGCTTGTCCAACCAATGGGATGTAAGGAACAGAGGGGTGGGGACTGTATTCGTCCCCCATGGCAGCCAAACACAGAAATTTACTCTTACTGCTGGAAGGCAAGAGGCCAACACCCAGGTGGAAGCAGGGTTGGTTCCTTCTGGAGGCTGAGGGGGTAGATCCTGCCTCCTGTGAGCTTCTGGTAGCTGCAGCCATCCTTGCCACCCCCAGCTTATGGACACAGCATGTCCCTCCAGTCTGTGCTCAAATGTCCCCTCGGGTTTAGGTCCTGAAGACCCTATTTCCATTCACAGGCACTGAGGGTTTGGACTTGGCGAGGGGCACAATTCAGCCCACAGCAGGGACTGTGGTTGTGGGGAGGGAGGAGACTCCTGGCACGGCCGTGAGGACAGCGGGCATCGACTGGTTCTGGGTCAAAGGCAGCAAATGCAGACAGGCCTGAGGGTCCTCCCTCTGGACAAGGACGCGGCCTCTTGAGGCAGGGCGTTGCAGGGAGGCTGGCGTACGTGGAGGCCGCTGGGACAGAACAGTGAATGTGCTTGCTTCCCGAATGACAAGGGCAGAATTTAGAGGTTCCAGAGGGCCTGGAATGTGGTTGACCCATAAAGCGTGTGAACCACACTATGGGGCTGGCTTTGGTGTCAGAGTTAATTTCATCTGAGAAAAATCTTTTGGACTTTATCTGAAGTTTTCAATTGAGTATTAAAACCCTAAAAAAAGGAAAATGTGCTCCTGTCCTCACCCCATGGCGTGTGACCCTGCGCTGCTGCATAGTATCACATCCAGACAGCTGCTCAGCCTGGACACCCGCCACCCCCTACCTGTCTGCAGGTCCTTCTCCCTGCACCAGGCGTGTGTCCACCCCCACGGCTCACCTCTGTCACCCCAGCAGACCCTGAGCAATGGGAGGCAGAGACGGTTCAACTTGTGTCATCGCAGCTTCTAGCATGGGGTCCTTACCTACATGGGGACCCAAAGGGATAGGACAAAATAGCCTCAGAGGTGTGTGTATATATATATATATGGTAAAATACCTGTAAAGTAAAATTTGCCAATCTAACCCCTTTTAAGTGAACACTTCAGCAGCACTAATTACCTTTACGGGGTTGGGCCCCCCTGGGCCCCCCTCCCACCCTCCATTTCCCACCTCTGAGTCTCCCTTGGTCCCTTTGTCAAAGTGATATCACCGAGTGGGCCCTGTGCTCCTGCTCCATGCCGGGCTGCCAGCGCTGTCCCAAGAACGCTCTAGGGCTGGCCCTGCACACTCTGCCATGCTTCAGGCCCGGCGGCTGCAGTCAGCGGAGGGTGGGCTGCAGCCTCCCCGGGGCCCACTAGAGGGCAGGCGGGAGCTGCTCGCTTTCTGTCCCAGGGCAAAGTCCCACAACCTGGGAGCCTGAAAACAGAAATTCTCACATTCCTGGAGGACATTTGTCCGAGATCAAGGCCCGGGCAGGGCTGCCCGCCCTCTGAAACCAGTAAAGGAGGCTCTTTCTCCTCCTGTCTGCTGGCAGTTCTTGGTGTGCTTTGGCGTGCAGATACATCACTCACTCCTGCCTCTGTGGTCGAGGCAGCGTCCCTGGGCTGCTTCTCAAAGGGCACCACTCCTGATGGATTTAGGGCCCACCCCACTATGACCTCATCTTTACTAATTATATCTACTATGACCCTGTTTCCAAATAAGGTACCTTCTGAGGTTAGGGCCTTCAGTGTATCTTTTTGGGGGACTCAGTGCACCCTCTACCAGGTGATAAGAAGTAAGCATCTCAGGCTCGTGCCATCAACCAAGGGTTTCTCCACACCAGGGAGCAGTAGGGCCCACATTCTCAAGTCGTGGACGTGTCTCAGTTGCAGGAAGCCTATTCTTAGGACCAGACCTGGCCACGGGCCCTGGCCCCATCGGTGCTTCTTACAGGCCTCCTTGTCTTTCAGAATCAGTTGTCTGGGAACCTGCTGAGGAAATTCAAAAACAGCAACGGGTGGCAGAAGCTGTGGGTGGTGTTCACAAACTTCTGCCTGTTCTTCTACAAGTCACACCAGGTGAGTGCCCCACACCAGGCAGGCGGGCCTGGGGCTCCACGCAGTACCTCTTGTCTCTCAGGGGCACTGCTGAGCCACCTGGCCCAGCATGGAGAAGCCACCTGTCCCCCGGGGAAGGCCATGGACAGCAGGGGCTTCAACTCCAAGCGAAGGCTGACATCAGCCATTTGCTGAAGGTCACTGACAGTTTGTGTCCTGGCAGGGACTCACTAGCTGGACCACCTGCCCCGCAGCCGAGGGTGGAGCTGCCTGGGCTCCCAGGGTCCCTGCTGGGGGAGGGGTGGCTGCCGCCCAAGGCTGCCTCCCAGAGCCACTCTGTTCCCCGTTCCAGGACAATCATCCCCTTGCCAGCCTGCCTCTGCTCGGGTATTCGCTCACCATCCCCTCGGAGTCCGAGAACATCCACAAAGACTACGTGTTCAAGCTGCACTTCAAGTCCCACGTGTACTACTTCAGGGCGGAAAGTGAATACACGTTTGAAAGGTAAGTGTCCCCTTTCCTACACACAGGGCCTGGTAAAAGAGGACATTCCTCTAGCAAATGCCAGCATGTGAGGGAGGCGCTAGATGTTTGCCCGTGTGCAACTCTGTTCTCGTAGCAGCAGGTAGGAGGGTGATGAGGGTCCTTACCCTGGACAGTGTTACCTGGTGCCCAGACATCTCTAACTTGTGTGTCGTGGGCAGAACTAGAGAGGGGCTCCAGTGCTCTGCTGGCCGGACCCACCTAGACCCAAAGAAAGCGTTTCAAGGGCAAAAACGTCAGGTTTTTTTAGGCTGTAGCTACCAACTCTTAATATTCTTGATTGGGCTATAGCCACAAGGCTGAAGGTCAATGGACCATACAAGGAAGGGAAAAAATCTTAGTTCTTGTTAGGGTTACCTTATTGGTGAAACTCCCACATTGGTGTAGTGAGAACCAAGGGGCAGGGCCTTCATTCAGCCAAGGAATAAAAGAAACCACCAGGCTATTGGCGGTTTCTGAAATTCACATTTCAAGTAGAGCCTAGACTAGAGGATAGTAATTTCAATGATCCTAGACTAGAGGGTAGTAATACTCAAATTTGACACTGGCCTGGAAAACAGAGTGAGGGACTGAGTGGGATGATCTTATCACAGACTTGCAGTGCTAAGATCCTAAAAGGCCTGGAGGAAGAAATTTCTAATGTAAGCATTCCCCACAAGGGCAGGAAGCTGGCCATGCCCAGGTGTCCTCAGCACTACTTACCTGTTGGACCAGATAATGAGTTGGGGAGGCTGTCCTGCAAACAGTAGGATGTTCACGGCATCCTTGGCCTCCACCCAGTAGATGCCAGTAGCACCTCCTCGGTTGTGACTACTGAAAATGCTCTAGACGTCACCAGATGTCCCTGGGGCCAACATCGCTGCTGGCTGAGAACCACTGCTATACGGCAAATACACATAAGTATAAAAGGGAGCTTCTACTAAGCAAGATAGGACGCACACCACATTCTCTGCAATTTCCTGATGAGGAGGATGAGGAATTCTCTTCAACAGCCCTAACTACTCAAAATGGGGAGTGGATGGTGTCACCTAGGCAAGGCACATGTGTCTTGAGTACTTCCAGAGTACTCCCTACAAAACGAGAGTGCCCAGCGGATGGTTCTCAAATGGTGTTCCCCAGGAACAACTGGAAGAACCCTCTGCTCAGGTGCTAGGAGTTCACTTCCAAACCCTCCTGCTGGCATGGCAGGTTACAAACCAGGTGGTATTACAGCATGCTGTGTGTTTGTAGGTGGTGACGGCCAAAGTGTCATGAAGCTGTCCAAACAAGGGGGAAAAAAAGTTTATAAAACATGGTCCATGGTAGTTATTTCACTTCTGTTTCAGGTGGATGGAAGTGATCCGAAGTGCCACCAGCTCAGCCTCACAGGCCCACGCTCTGAGCCACAAAGAATCTCACGTGTACTGACAGCCAGACACGTTTGGTCGATTCTGCAGTGGCCGCTTTCCTGGAAGACATTTACTTTCTTCTGTATTAATGAAGCCTAGTAAAATTAACACCTGTCTGAAAAACAACCCGGTTTTACTGCAACTCTCATCTGTCTCCACAGAAGCGTTTTTTAACCTTGTCCTCTCAGCTGTTAATTTCTCATCTGAACGGAACAGTGACCCCAGCTCCAGGCCCGGGTGGCGTTTCGTCTGTCATTCTCTCGGGGGGCTGTTACTTAGCTTGTGACAGTATTAAAACATTGTCATTAAAAGAGTGCCAAATGACATTTCTTCCTCCACGCTGCATCTCAGAAGCAGTACAAACACATCCGTTCAACCGTGAGACAGGGCAAGTGCTCTTCTTTTTCTTAAAGAAACTTTTATTATTTTCATCTTACAGGCTGCTGCATTTTAAAAAATTCGATTTTCCAGTGTTTGCGATATACGTGGCACAGTCTTAAGTAAATGAGATCATTTTCAGATTTTTTTTTTCAATCTTTCTACTTTTATAATAATAGGCAGTTAGTGGGACTCACTTCTTTGATTAATAAGCAATTTGCAGCACACTACGTTCCCCTTAGGGGCATCACGCTCCAATGAAAACACTTGTTATCCTCCACCTCCTCCTTGGCACAAGTTGACCAAATCCTTTAGGTGATTACTATTCACAAACTGTAGCGGGGTTGTCTTCTGTTACGGGAAGCAGAAATGCAGTGCAATATCCGGACTGTCGCTGTACTGTGAGTGGCGTGTACAATGGGAAGATGCTGTGGTGTTTTGCTGTCCATGTCACAAGCATGAAAACCTGTATGTCATTGATGATATGTTTCCGTGACGAGCGTGTTTGTGAGCGTCGTGGCCGCAGAGGCACGATGACGTGACGGTACGTAGTCCCCTGGTACTCCTGTCTCCTCCTGCAACTGTGGCGGACACTGCACACCCTCTAGTAGTATATATATTGTGCCTGTCCGCAAAAGCAACATTTACCTTTCTTACTCATTCCCCCCGGGCATGGGGTCTCGACAGTAGGACACTGCACCTCCCTGACAGTCGGACTACACAGGGAACACGGTTCCAACCACTCGGGCCCACGACTTGGAAGGCGTTTGCCCGTTCTCTCCGGTGATGGGTGGCTGCTATTCCCTTAGCATTCGCAAGCCCTTCCTGATGCAAGTGCAGAAAGATCCGGAGGCCGTGGCCAATCAACACCGTCTCTTCCGTGCCCTGAAGCACCGCTGGGAAGGGCTACTCACCCAGGACACAGGAAGCCACCGGCTCTGCAGGGCTGGGACTGGTGTCCGTGGAAAGAGGGATTGACCCACGGACAAGTAGCTCCACACGTGTTAATCATTTGCCTTACAATATGTACCAGACGGTTTGAAGTACTAACAAAAGGGAATAAAAATACCTCACGCCACGATCCAGCATATTGAAGTTCTAAGGCAAAACAACCCACCTTGTGTCTCGTTTTTATTTTCAGCCTGTGTGTGGCAGGGCGGGGAGGACAGGCACTCGCTCGCTGAGACAGAAGATGGGGGCAGCTTTGACAGACCCCAAGTAGGTCCCTGGGCTGTGGGGGGGGGGGGCGGAGTGGGGGGGTACTCCCCAGTCCTGTGTGGACAGCTGCCCAGATGGCAGAGCAGCACTAGAGGATGGTCCCTCCAGTAGTCCCGTCACTAAATTCCAGGTGACTTGGACATGAAGTGGTCTCCTACCTCCGTATTTCTGAATGATTCCAATCCGTGCCCAGCACCTCTGTCCCACGTGACCTCAGAGGAAAATGAAGTCACAACAGCGTGGGACTTCAGCCCACCCCAAGCTACAGGAACACGTGCACTTGGCAGGCACACCCTCTATACCTAAGACACAAAATTACAAAAATAACTTTCCTATGAGCTTAATAACCCTCGCATGATATGGTACCTGTGCTTAAGAACATGCCCTGGAGGGCTCTCTGCCTTTGTTGCCATGTTTCTTAAGGAAACTTAAAATCAACCACATATTTTACCAAAGGAAAAGTACAAAAAATGCAACATAAAGAACCAGACTAGATCCTTCACAAGAGCAACTTGAGAATAAAACTCTTGGGTTTGGGAGGCAGGTGGCACTTCCAAGAAAATAACAGCCTGGCCATTAAGTAGCCTTGTCATCCCAAACCACACTGGTGGGCCACCTCACTGAGCACAGTCAGCTGGGACAGACGCTAACCAGTCACTCACGGCCAGGCCGGTCCACAAAGGCAGTAGCTGTGGCCCGCTCGCCCGTGTAGAACACTTGCCCATACCAGCGCATGAGCACCAGCTGCAGTCTCAGGCAGATGAGCCACCAACAAAGCAGTTAGGCACTGAGAAGCCCGCAAGCGATCGTCAACCTGTCTATCATGCCTCGCTCCCCGCTCTGGCTACACACTGACAACAATCTATGTTGTCTGAAGCAGGTTCCAGTTGTAGCTCTGGTACCTGGTCTCTCTTTTAATGAAGGACTGGCAGTAGACATACACATGCCAGTAGCATACACGTTTCCTTGGTTAAACCAGATGCCCTTAGAAAGAGCTCAGTGGTTTTGTGTGTCTACAGAAAGTAACAAGCCAGAAGAGATTGTACAGGAAGGTGATCTGCTTTTAAACTCCAAACCACATCTCCCCCCAGAAGCTAAATGGACACAAAATGTTTCCAATAAATTCGGAATCACTTATTGTTTTACTGAGAGATGGAGTTGTGCAGTATCACAGCCTAGTGACTGCAGAGAGCCTACTAACCGATCACACCGACACCCCTAATCAGAATCCAGTCTAGCAGCATAAACAGTTACTGCATTTGAGACTGGCTTCGGCATCAGCAGTTGTGATGTCATTGTCCTCTCGTAAATATGAAGAACTCTGAATCAGGAAAGCTGCTGTCTACCTTGGCTCTCTTAGAACCACATAAGCTGCACACTCACTGTAAGGGAAAACAGATTCATTTTTCTTTGAATGGTTCTTTCTCTGCAATGGATGAATCTAACCTACGACTTAGGCCTCATGCTTCACATAGGGAAACAAATAGTTCCCCATGCAGAACACTTCCCAGAAACACAAAACGAAATAGTCTCAATTCTTCTAATTTTTTTTTTTTTGGGGGGGGAGGGTGCAGGGTCTTGATCTGTTGCCCAGGCTGGAGTGCAATAACACAATCATAACTCAGTGTACTCTTGAACCCCTGTGATCCTTCCATTCACTCTTCCAAGTAGCTGGGACTACAGGCATGTGTCACCACACCTAATTTTTCTATTTTTCGTAGATGTGGGGTCTTTCTATGTTGCCCAGGCTGGTCTCAAACTCCAGCCTCAAGTGATCCTCCCCCTCGGCCTCTCAAATGACAGGATCCCAGGCATGAGCTACTACTGCACCCACCTATATTCTCGGATTTTATTCTTCAAAGTAACATTCTTGCTGCAGAATAATACAATAAAAATTAGCAATTCAGTTCTATTTCCCCTAATCAAAATGTATCCTTTATACAATCTAATAGTTCAACCCAAATCTACTTCTAATAAAATATTACAATTTAATTTTAGAGTTTAAAAGCTACATTCCATTATCCAAGAGCAGTGGTAGGAGCCTACAGTCCCAGCTAACTGGGAGGCTGAGGCAGGAAGACTGCTTGAGCCTAAGAGTTTGAGTCCAACCCAGACAACATAGCCAAGACCCCACCTCTAACACACAAACAAAAGCTGGACTTCATTAAACTGGAACCACTCAAATATCTGGCTCAAGTCTCTGTCCTCACCCTGTTCCTTCCAGGCCACTACACCAGCAGATAGCTAAGCTTACATCCCAAGCTCACCCAGTAAAATGTTTTAATCTTCCAGAACTGTTATTCCAACAAGAGATGACAATAATTAGCGCTAACAAACACAAAAGAACACCACACATACCTAAGTCAGCAGTCAAGGATTGCCATAAGAACTCTCCCATCTCAGAATTCTGAGATTATTTCCCCTTTTGCCAGGTGAGGCCCTACAGCAAGCAAATAGCTAATATAGGCTCCTGTAAGAGAACTGAAACAACCCTTCAAGTCTCCAGCGAGTGGTGGAGCAATTTTACACATCAGCAATGTTCAACCCCATCTGAGGGACCGATTTTACAGCACGCACAGGGAGCTGCCCTGGACACTCAGCATTCTGACAGCTGGGCACTTCTCCCTGAGTCTTCGGAAGTTCTCTCTCTCTCTCTCTCTCTCTCTCTCTCTCTCTCTCACACACACACACACACACACACACACACACACACACCAGGTGCCCTGTCCTCTAAAGAGTCACGTTTCAAGGAAAGTATACAAAATAAGTGTTATAAAATTTATTCGTGTAAGCATTCAGACATTTGCAGGTGGGAAAGATGATATGCAGATTCCACTACAAGGTACAACAGAAAATCGTACTGGAAGGGACGGTACATCTGGCGCAGACCAGCAGTGGCACGATTCCAAACAAATGTTAGACGAGAGCGCTTCATTGGGGAGAAAACCGAAGATAATAATTTAAAGCTTCATGAGGCAAGATATGTTCCAATTTAAAACACTAAGAAATAGTACCATCAATGAAAAAGGAAATCAACTTCTAAGTGTACCAAAAAGGGTGGCAGGGCAAACAAGAGGAAAATTTGCATCTGTTGAGGTACAAATAGGAGTGTTCCATAAGAGGGGCATTAATTATTATTAATGACAAACCCTGCAAATACAAAATAAAACCCAAATCACTGGTCACATAATTCAAAATTTACATGTAATAAAGGCAAGGCAATAGACTCAAGTTATGGCCTGTCAAATATTTACTCCACTGACATTATCTACAGAAGCACTTGGCCAATTTGTACACAGTGATTCCTTATGCACGCCGAAGGGGTTTCCGTAAAAATGACACTATATACAAATCTGTACACCGATCCACCAGAGCGATTCTCCATCTCCCAGGGGGAGTTGTCAACTTAAAGCAGGATACCTGAGGTTTCATGTCTGTAGTTGCCTTATCATAATCCCAAATATACATTTCAGGGTTTTTGTTTGTAAAGACACTTTCCTTGAATATGTGCACTATGGGTAAAATTAAAAACGAGAATAAAATAAAATGATCGCTCAAAGGAGCTGACCCTTCCCCACCCCATCTGAGAGACTTCATCTGGCTGTGCCACAGGAGGACCGTGTGTGTCCCGACAGGCGCCCGCAGCTTTGGGGGTGGCCCCTCCATGGCGCACCTCTTCAGCAGAGTCAGCAAAGGCTCTCGTTGACTTTTAAAGAGAAGGAGGATGAAGAAGAAAAAAGGAAAAAAAAAAAAACCCAAATGCCAAAGGATTTCAGTGGGATGAGGTTCCTCCACCACTTAGAGAATATCTAGGGGAAAAACAAACAGAGAAATAGAAGTAAATAAATTATTTATCTAACCCCCCTATAAAATTTCAAATAATAACCCAAATCTTCATTTTTATACAAAATCTCAAGTCACACACACAAAAAATAAGTGGAAGAAATATCAATGGATTAATAAATCTTTTATATAATGAACTAAAAGATTAAGAAAATTTTCATAACTCCAACACAAAACTTTAGAGCATGTAAGTGAGAATGTGTCCAACCATTCTCAAGAGATGTGAACAAAACAGTAAATAATAACCCTTTAATTACAATCAATTTTTCAAATTGAAAATCTATAAGACCAGATGACACAGTATAGTTCCAGGGATGCATATACATTCCTAATATGTGCAGGATACCCTTTGTGGCCACAAAAATATTGATGTGGTCCAAGTAATTCATTTCCTAGAATTATTTCAGAAATATGGTCCAAATGAGAAACAAAGTATTTGCAGCACAAAGATGTCTCTCAGGGTTTTTTATAATTATAATAATTTGTAAACAACTTTGATACCCAACAAGTAGAGAAATAGTTAAGTAAATTTTGCAAACTGAAATTACTAGAGATTAAAAATTATAATTACTATATTTAAGCAATATAAAAAATATACACAAATTAATAAGTATATACAAAATTGCAGGTCAAATATCACTTATCCTAAACATGTGGGACCAAAAGTGTGTCTGATTTCAGATTTGGGAATATTCGCATGATACTGACTACCTGAGCATCCCAAGTCCAAAATGCCCCAGTGAGTATTCCCTCCCAGCCTCATGTGGATGCTTTAAAAAGTCTTAGATTTTGGAACATTTTCAGATTTGGGATGTTCAACCTGTATGTGTGCTTACAGTTCATATGCACAATTTCTCAATCCTAGATAATACAGAGTGTCTAAAAAATTATATAAAAATCATATCTTCACTGTAATTTGCAAGTAGGTAAGAAAATTGAGTAAGTTTATGACATATATATAACAGAAAGCAATGCATCAAATGATGATGATAATAATGAACAAGCTGGAGTGGTGACATCTTGAGTAATTTCTCTTTCAAAAATTCTACAATACTGTCTTGATTTAGAATACAAGAAAGGGGTGGAGGTGAGCCCCCTCATGGTTAAGATTCCCTCTGGCATCTCAAAACTGACCAATTCAGGTCTAGGAGGCGGCTGACGACAATTCAATGGGACTCATCTCAAAACATTCCAATCTAGAGCTCCTCTTTTGAGGCATTCAAAATAGTTGGCACTATCCCAAACAACAAAGTTACATAAGATCCTCTTAAAGCATGCTTTAGCCACAAATCCTAGGACTCAAATTTCAAGAACTATTATATAAATAACTCAATCGTGAGATGAGCTGATAACACACAAAAGAATCCAAACATTAATTCAAACTGAGAGAGACAGAAAGGCTTCAAAAATGCTTCAGACAAGAGTCTGTTCTCATTTTTTCTGGGGTCATCCCCTGAAAGAACACGTTTGGGAGCAAAACCAGTAAGAAGTCATCCAACCAACAGCCCCTGTGGTTTTGTGTCCTGTCAGTGGCAAACAAACCCACAGGAAGAGCTTCTGGAGCATCTCGTGAAGAAAAGGAGGCCACAGCCAAGGCTGCAGGGAGAAGACAAGGACCCCAATACTCAGGCCATCTGAGGGTTGAGGAAAAAGAGGGTGCACTCATCACCCAGGGAAGAAAGCAAGATAGAAGGGTCTCGAGACGAGAAGAAAGAATGTAAACTCAGTATCTCTAATCTATTACTGGAAACTAAAATTTTAACTACAACATACACTAGACGCAGGGTAGTTACAGACTTGTGCTCCGGTAAACGTGGAAAGCCCCAGCCACAAGCGCCTACTGAGACTCTGAAATTTGCTGAGTCTGAATAGAGATGCACTGTTAAGTGTAAAACACACCCTGCATTCAATGACTTAGTACAAAAATAAAAGAATGTAAAAGATCTTTTTGATAACTGTTTGTATTGTTACATGTTGAAATGATAGCACTGTGGATGTAGCAGATTTAAAAATAGATTATTAAAACTAATTTCACTTTTTAATATTTTTATTATGGCTCCTAGAAAATTTAAAATTCTGTGTGGGGCTCCCATTATATTTCTATTGGACAGAGTGGTACAGATCAACTTGCATTAACAACTAAAGCAAGAGAAACAGAGAGATAAGGGGGCCCTGAAACTGAGAAACATGGATTGATTAAATATGCATAGTCCATGCAATCTGTGCTCTGGAACTGCTGGGGAAATCAAGTCACTTATAGCAAGAATTCATAACAATTTCAGGCGATCCTGGACAATGTGGAAAATATCCGTTCTAAAAGTTAACTACAAAAACACAAAACAAAATCCCAAACAAGATAATAACAATACCACCAGTTTCTGGTTTACTTCTATTTGCTTTTGGGGGGGACCGGAGGAGGGGTAGATGAGGAGACAGAGTCTTGCTCTTTCGCCCAGGCAGAGTGCAGTGGACTCATCATAGCTCACAGGAACCTCAGATTCCTGGGCTCAAGCGATCCCCTCCTGCCTCAGCCTCCCCAGCAGCTGGGACTATAGGCATCCACCACAATGCTGGGCTAATTTTTCTATTTTTTTTTTTTTCTTAGTAGAGATGGGGTCTCGCTCTTTTTCAGGCTGGTCTTGAACACCAAAGCTTCAAGCAATGCTCCTGCCTCAGCTTCCCACATGCTCTATTTAATGAGAAATAAATGCCACTGGAATGAGGTATGAAAGTAATACCAAGTTTCTTGGAGAAATCAAAAATTTTGTGTTTGGGTGAGCACATGGATGATTTTTTATTATATTTTTCTTTATCCCTGTAATTTGTTATATTGATTTTAGTATTAAAGGTGTGGGGGGGGTCACCCAAGAAGATCACTTCAGTTGCCTCAAAATTGGGGTGAGTGTGGTGGCTCATGCCTCTGATCTCAGCACCTTGGGAGGCCGTGGCGGGAGGACTGCTTGAGGTCAGGTATTCAAGATCAGCCTGAACAACACAGCAACACCCAATCTCTACAAAAAATCTAAAAAATTAGCTAGGCTGGCTGGTGTGCGCCTGTAGTCCCAGGGGGCTAAAAAGGGAGGATTGCTTGACCGCAGGAGTTTCAGGCTACAGTACATTATGATTGTACCACTGTACTCCAGCCTGGGCAAGTGTGAGACCCTGTCTCAAAAAAAAAAAGAGAAATCAAAGGCAGCCTAGTAAACCATTTTTCTTTTCCATCCAAAACTCTAAAGCAACTTAAAACGTGGAAATGTCTTTCACTAACGGACTTGAGTTCAAGAGAATAAACGTGAAGTATCAGAACTATGGTTTTCTCCTGATGTCCCCATTTAGAAGGGACACATCACAGGACAGTAGGCAGCCCTATGATCTTACTTCCAAGTGGCAAAAGGGACCTCCTCATGTGCCCCAAAACTTCATGTGCTGTTAAGTGACAATCTCAGAAAGACCTAGAAATGCTCCTTATCACCGAGGCTCAGCCCTCCTGGGGAAGGGGCGATAGTCATGAGACCCTGGAATAGGGCTGTCAAAGCAACTGGATACCTGGTCCTCTGCCCCTGGAGTGTGGAAGAAAGCCCAGTCACAAACCACCCATGGTCACAGAGCAGCTGGCTAGCACAACTCCAGTCCCAAGCACCAGTAAACAACTGCACCTATGCTGGGATGGCCATCAGGAGTGGCTTCCTTTCACACAGACACTCCTAAGATAAGCTAAGAAGGGACCGAGAAGGCTCAGGTAGTCACCTCCACTTACTTCTCACCTGGAGCATAAGGGCTACCGGGCAAGGACAGGCACTCCCTGCAGGCTGGCACAGACCAGCCCCTCCCAGCAAGGCCTCCAAGCACGACACACTCTGCTGCCCCAGGAAAGAACAGGCCCGTGCCCATTCTGGTCGCATTCCCTGAGCCAAAACGCCTGGCATTTTTGAACACTTAACTGTAAGGCCTAAAACCAAATGGACAGTTACACACATGCGGCTTAGCACTGTCACTCTCTGACTAGTTATTATGCTGCATAATTAGGAACAGACATATTTTAAAGCCATCCTGTGTTTCTGTGGCAAGAGCTACAAGTGCATGATGTCCTGTGTTCCCTTCCAGTAGTTTCCAGGTTCATAACATTAATTCATGGAATCCTGTAATTCAGAACAAAAGACTTCTCTAGCTTGACTCTGCTTCAACCCTGAGTCCTAGAGGACAACAGGAACACACAGACCAAGAACGAAGCACCAAACTGATAAACTGACTTCTGGTCCTTTCCGTGTGGAAAGTCTCCCTACGCCCAGCCTGACGAAGCCGGGGGCAGTTACCTCTGCAGCCGCTGCACGAGCTGGGCCACCATGGTGTCGGAGATGCCGGGGCACGCCTCTTCCGCCAGGTAGATGGCCCTCCGCAGCTCTTCTATGGACCCCATGTTCCCTCCGCACGCCTGGCTCTGCTCCTTCAGCTGCAAACACAAACGGGAAGAACAGCGTGATGCCCAGGGGACAAGGACTGAGGAACACTCTTCACGACAAGGAGCGACACAGCGCGGGGGTCACAACACGACCCCAGTCTCGGGGAGCCTGGGCAGCAGCTTCAGCTCGGCTGCTGGGTCACTTCGGGTTCCCTCTGCTGAAAAGCTATTCAGATGCTGTGCGGACAGCGCGTGCGGACAGGGCCGGGTCAGTCCAACCTCACCACGCTACAGGCTTTCGTGTACCTTTTCCCAATCTGATTGTGATAGTCTGTCTTCTCCGTGTTCTTTTTCTGTTTCAACCTTAATCTTGTACCAGAAAAGCAATGTCACAGCCCATGAGAAATTCTTCTGGTTTCAACAGGAAGCCTCAGTGTGCAACATCAAAGCTCAGTGCCTCGAGTTAATGGGCTGGTGCTACAACTCCAGAAAACTGCCTCTGTGATCCAGAGTCACTGTCAAAATGGTTGATTCCAAATAAACAAGTGGGAGCCTTAAATTCTGGGGATCCACACGTCCCTCCTGGCCCCTCTGGTTCCCAAAGAATCACAACAGTGTCTCCTGGCCCCGCCCTTGGGTCAAGGCCAACTCTGAGTTTCTTTCTGGAATGCACCCAACGTGTGAACTGTGGAAACAGGAGCCGCTCAAGTCAAGACATAGCACGGCTCAGGATTAGCATGTCTCCAGACAGGCTTCCGTTGGTGGCTGCAGATGGGACAGGCACCAGCTCCTCCTCAGGAGGGCCCCTCCTCAATTTCACCTTTAAGAAATAGCTCATAAAACGTTCAGCTTTGGCTCTTCAGGCTGTCGTGAAGATGTGTTGTCATCCAAAGTCAATCTCACCCTAAAACCCACGACTTCTCCTCTCTCCACTACTGAAGGGACAGGTGGAGGAGGGACTGGGGAGGTCTGATGTGGAGGGACCCATGGGGGCCATGAGCATCTGTCCTCACGCTCCTGCTTGACACAGAAGGCCACACACCTAACCTTAGATGGTCACTGGTGTTTATCGAGGACCCTCAGTCACTTCACAGCATTTGCAAGTCTGGGGAGTCTGCCATCAACCTCTCCCCTGCCACCCCGTGCCTTGTACCTACGCCTAGACGGGGGGGACAAGCAGGGCAGAGGGCGGCCCCGGGAGGGCGCGGTGCGGAGACACTGCGCTGGGCGTGCTCTGCCACCACTGAGGTCAGGGAGCAGCCTGCGCATGCGCTTCCTGACGGACAGCAGGGGACACCAACGCCCCTCGCAGCACCCTCATCTGCAAATGCAGGGACAATGACCCTTCCTATGAGCTTTTATCATATAAAATAATACACATTAAGCACTCTCAGTACTAGATCATCAAATATTAACAGTAATAAAAATATACAGAAAAAGATGCCTGTCAGTTTGCCTTTCTTCAGTTAGTTGGGCAAATCCAGGCTATTACTGCAGTGAGGATTAATTTGGAGTAGGTTCTGAATAACGATTTCAATAGTTTCTTCATGAGCCCAGTAAAAAATACACAACCCTAGGCAGATGAGAAAATCCACACATTCCCTGACCAGACTGGCCAATCCCATCAAAGCAGCCACTGGCAGGATCCTAGGAGAGCAACCAACACCTAGAAAACCCCAAGGGCCAAGCTCCCGAGCAAAGTGACAAAAAGCGAAATGGCACCTTACGGACACCCTGCGGAGAGCACAGGCACCCAGGACAGTCAGCCTCGGCCACAGCCAGAAAGCAGCACAGCACGGGCCTGGCAAGTGCCCCGCAGTTTCCATACGAAACCGTCAGCTGTTTCCAGGTGAGGCCTCAGGCTGCAGACATGGCCCTCCTCCCACCTGGCCCCAAATCTGCCAGGCTGAAGCCCCCAGATGAGCCCAGGAGGGCAGCTTCTGATGAGGGAAATGGGCCAAGGCTCAGGGGAGGGGCTGGGAAGAGGTGCTGGCGGGACCACAGCTGGCCAGGGCTACTCAGCTGGGTGACACCAGTGCAAGCCCAACGGGGGCCAGGGAATGAGCCCACAAAGCGCCCCCAACACAGCCACCGTGGAAAGCCACCCAGAGAGGCCTGGACCACCACACAACCAGAAGGTATGGGTGCCCCTACCCCCACTGAATTACCTTAAAGGCAGCCTGAGCCAGGAAGGGAACGCAAGGAATGGGGTAGGGGGTTCCCAACCTATTTCCAAATCAGCTACTAACCAGATGAAGGATACTCTTCATTCTTCCAACATCTACTCTTGAAAATATCTCAAAATGCAATATGCAAACAGCCCTCTCCAGGAGGCAGGGAGGGCAGAGGGGATGGGCACACAGAGGTCAGCACGGGTCAGCCCAGCCCTGGGCGCTGAGCGTGGGACTGCAGTGACACAGGCAGCACCATGGGAGACACGAGGATTCAAGGGAACCCTATGTCTCCTCCCCCAGAAATGAACATCTGCTTTTCACATGGCCATAACTCTGTCTGAGGCAGAGATTAGGCCATACCCAATCAGATTTGGGAGAAAGCAGCCCAAGGAAAGCTGGAAGTCTCCCTGATGACACACGCACATGGCACTGGGTCACTGACATCCCTCTGTGCGCTTCAGGCTGTGGCAGAGCGGGCATCTCCCCAGGAGCCCTGACAGAGATGTGCCAAGGGACGGCAGGAGGCCACCCTCGGAAGGGAGCATCTGACGCCAAACCCTCCAGAAGGCACTTGCAGGTCCCTGAGCCCAGCCCTGCCAGCCTGTCCATCGCGATGTCCAGCACCCACTGGCACCGCCCCACACACACACCACTCCCGAAACAGCCAGGCCGTCTCTTACCTCCGCAAACAGAGGAGAAATAATTGTAGATAAACACTGAGAGAAAGGCCGCTTTGGGATGTCTTTCATCTTGGGAGAGGAAAAAAAAAGTCATCAGAAACACTTAACATTCACGTCGGCAGTAATTCAATAAACCTCAGATCTGGGCTATCGAAGCATAAAGGCTCATTCTACCCCCTCACCCTGAGGAAACGGTCCCTGTGTGCTCCAGTATCTAGATGAAGGAGACTACTTCACTGTCTCTCACTAGACTTCAAAGTTTCATCTGCAGTGACATGCAAAACCCATGCAGCTGGGAGAGCAGCCTCTGGGTCCTGCGTGGAAAGGGACCGTGTGGGCTGGGCTGTGCTGGTTGCTCGGTGCGCTACCCATGTAAACGTGCTGCACTAATGAAACCCTGCAAGTGAAATCAGATTCCAGCTGGCTATTCCGGGCGGCTGTCGCATAACAGAGGCCTAGTGCCTACTTTTGCGGCTTTAATCTGAACACTTATCACTTATCCACTTATCAAGGCGGCACTCGTAGGGTCACCAGGGGACAGCCACCAGTCTGCCTGCCTGAGGGAAATGATGTCACTGTGCAGTAGAAGACCCTAAAAATACAGCTTTTCATGAATTTAAATGGGCATTAAACCAATTAATCAAAATTAAGTCTAGCATAAGCACAAGCCATACATTGACCTTAAAACTCAACCTGAAAATTATGAAACGTACGAACGGTCCCCAGTATGCAGAGCAGAGTCCCAGCTCCCCTCCCACGGCCACAGCAGGGCCGCGGAGAGCAAAACGCAGACCCACAGAACACACCGGCGTCCCCAGTCTCAGGTCTGAAGCTTTGCATGATCTTTTGATCTGTCCATCCCCCAACTGCGAAATTCCACGACTGGGTGCCATGAGGGACACCCCCCCACGCCAATCTCCAAACAGAAGTGACTCCCACATGCTGCTGACTGATGACAAGCGTTGGTCATGACAAGCAATCATACCTTATTTCTTTCTAAGTCCGATGGCTGAAGAGCTCCGTTCTCCAGATTCTTGGGATCCTTCTCTCGGATGGTGAAGATCCAGTCCCCAGAGTCGCTGCCGCCAGACGCTTGGCCGTCTGTTTCCCTGAACAGAGACCCAAGCGAATGCCGTCAGCGAACACACTGGCTCTGAGGGGACCGAGACCTCCTGGGGTGCCAGCTGGGGGCCCACTGCCAGCCCTGCCTCCCACCTCACAGAGACACCATCAAACACTGTTCCAGTAACTTCCCACTGTCCCGGGGCATCCGCACCGACCCTCCTCCTACTAACGTGGAAAAAGGCGGCCCTTCCATTGGGAGACAATCCTCCCATCTCAGGACTCAGCTCCCCTGCCGCCAGGCTCCCATCCCCAGTGTGGCACACGCCACCTCACCTCTCAGCCACCAACACTCACTGCCTCCATCTGGCACCTTCCGCTCGCTTCCAAACCCACTCGCATCTCTGCTCGTGCTCCCTCACACGTTGCTGGATGAGCAAGGCCCTGGTCAGCCCACACCTGCTTCAACCTCAGGACCCCGCTGTTGATCGTCCCCCGCCTGTGGCCTGTCTTTCCTGAACTGCACACCTCGATGCCACTTTAAGCTGGACATCTGGACATCCTGGGAGCACCTCAGATGTGAACACAGCCTGCATCACACTCAGCTTCCTCGTCACTGCAAGGCCACCTCGCCACGCTGCCGAAACGTCTTCCCCTCCTTCGCCCTGATCCATCACCACGTCCTAGCTCTCAAAACCTCTCTCCAATCTCTTTCTCTCGTCATTCTTGGTGCTAACCACCCTAATCTCCCAGTGTCATGACCCCAACAACTTCTGGAGTCAGCGATCTCAACCTTGGCTCTAAAACAGAATCGAGGGGACCTTGAAAAACCACCTTGGGTCTCGTCCCTGGAAATCCTATTCAACTGGCTGAAGCATGGACCGGGGCCATGGGCCAACACTGACTCATGCCACGGCGTGCAGGAGAACAGGCAAGTCCCCCAGCCTGGACTTCTAGACACCACGCTTGCCCAACCGCTTCCTTTCACCCTCACGACGGAGCAGTCAAGCCATCCCCACCCTCCTTACTGAATGGATCCAGCCCCACTTCACCTCTCCAGAAAAAGGAATTCCCTCATGCTCAACTCAACGTCAGCTTTCAGTAAGGAACCTGCTGGCATAGAGCCTGACCATGCCAAGCATGGGCCAGAACACTCATGGTATCACAAAAACATGCATTTTGAGTCAAAAATATATTTAAAGCTGTGTCATCTGATCAGTATTTTAAGAGCAGGAAATATAATGAAGAAAAAAAAAAAATAGCAGGTCTAGTTCTCTATGCACAGTTCCATCGCACAGATTTACTAGAAGAAACTCTCCTGGCAACATCAAGAGGCCACACGGGCCCAGACTGTGTCTAACAAGAATCACCATCAACCTGGATTATCTTAAAACAAACACACACACGAAACCGCCTCCCAAACCAGAGGCGAGAAGCAGCAGGGCCTCTCACAGGAGCACGCGGCGCAGCTCGGACGGCACGGCTTACGTGTCTGAGTCTTCAGAGCTCGAGTCGTCGTGGCTCTGCTCGGCCTTCCACCTCTTGTACCTGTCGATGAGCTCGGTCAAGTAGGATGTTTTCTTCGCATTGCGTATTATAAACTTGTGCTTTAGTAACTCTTTAGCGGTGGGTCTCTGGAAAAACACACACACCCAGAATAGTATGAGATGAAGTTCATTCTTCATTTTACTCTATTCCACCCCAAAGGACAAGCTTCTGCCACAGTAACGCAGTAAGACTGAGTTCCACGTCAAAGCTTTTTTCCCTAAGACTTCTCCGAAGACTAGTCACTCAGTACCTTGTGACTGGAACTCCTGGCACTAGAGGACATGACATTTAGTTTACAAAGGGGCCCTTAACCTTCCGCAGGTAAAAGTCCAACGGAAACAAGAGAGTGTCCCCCAGAAAAACACATTTACATAGAAAATGTTGCATAGAACTTCACAGGGATCATGGAAACAAGTTTATCTCCCAGTTTTATAAAAGACTTTATGACATATGTTGGCAAAAGAGAAAACATGTTCTATGTCACTTTAACTTTCTGTACTAACGTTTGGCTATACCCAAAAACATAATAAAATAAACATGTTAATTTGGAATCATCCAAAAGAAATGAAAAGGAGCCAGGAACTGCCCTTTGCCTGCTGAAAAGGCAGCTGGGTTCTCTTGGTCACCAGCTTTCCCGTCGAGAAAGGCTGGTTTCCGGGCCTGTCCCTTCCCTTGTGCCTGCGCTGAGGACTGTTCCACGCCACGTGCTCAGTAGGCCACAGCAAAATGGCACACTCTGAACTTGCCAAGAGCTTCGCCTTGAGGGCGGCAAAGCTGATCTCAGGAAGTGTGCTTCCCAAGGAGACCCGCACAGCCCAAACGGAGACAGGTAGCAGCAGCACCCAAACAAGAGTCAGACCAAACTCCCACATACTCCAAATTACTAAAGCTGTGCTAACCAGAGCCAGGCTTGCTCCTCACATTCACACTTGTGAAAAACCTGGTCACCTCAGCACCTCAGGTATTTCTCCCTCCCTGTCCACGGAACTGTGAGACTCCGGATATCCCAGAGGTGCTCACATTCCGCTTTGCATCCTGTCCTCAGTAGGTCTGGGGTAGAGACGTGTGAGCTGGGGAGTAAGCCGATACTAGCAATGTTTTCCACGGGAAGCCAGGCGCGTGCGTGGGTGTAGCCTCCTAGGTGCTGGTGCACTGTTTGTGCCCAGAACATCGTGATATAAAATTCAGAGCATCGTGGGCACCGGAACAACACCCGCCACCACCACCACCACTAGTGCCCGGTGCATTAATCAGACACCGACCTGGTGACCTCACGCTGCATCCCTAGAGGAGCTTACAAAATGCTGCATTCCCCATTTAATTCCTTGACCATATTCGAAAACCACCCATTTTTAGATAATAGTTAATAAAAACAGGTATTGCTTGGCCTTTAGCTAACTCTGCTACAAACGCAGGAACAAAACAAGGATGTATGGTGCCACGTGCAACACCAAGATACAGAGATAGCTTTCAAAGAAACGTTCTAATTCAGAGAGGAAATGAGGTACAGTTATGTAGTCGATACTGCTATACAGCTCTGCCAGAGTAGATTAAAAATAAAAAATAAAAAGAGAAAGTAGGAAGGAAGGGGAGGATGGCTCTTTAAAAAAAAAAAAAATCTTTTGTTTTCTAACACATGGCACCTGGAAACTGACAACATTTACTTTAAAGACACATTTAGCCTTTAGGTTTCAGGCTAATCATTACCATTTCTGAAAATAGCGTGATAGTTTAGCCTGGTCCTCCAGAAATATTAAAAATTTATCATTCCACATATATTATTACGAATATTCTTCAGACTCAATAAGGTATGAGGCTAGAAAATATGTAAGAAAATAAATAGATTTTTAATCAAATATAACAAGAAAACTATATTTGCAATTCAAAGAAATCAATCATACTCATTTAGAAAAAGGAAACTAAACAACATCATGAAGACACCTGAAAACAGTGATTAAAGAAATCCCAACAGGATGTATCTAAATTAAGTCAGGCCACACGTGACGAGATGCCCGTGACGAGATGCCCGCTCTGACCCCATGCAACTTACAAAGCTCGGCTCCTTATTCAAACAGGCCTCCACGAACTCCTTGAGAGGTTTACTATAGTTTCCTTCCAGCGTCGGGGGGTTGTTCTTTGGAATGAGGAATAAAACCTTCATGGGGTGCAGCTCAGAATGCGGTGGCTCCCCTTTCGCGAGCTCTATAGCTGTTATGCCCAGGGACCAAATGTCTGCCTGCAACAACAAAAGCATCTTTAGAAACACCAAGTGGGAATCAACTCAAAAAAATATACTTAGAAAAAAAATGATAACACATCTCAATGTACTTCTGAGGTTTTGGAAAAGATAATTATTTTTAACTGATAATAAAAAACAGAAGCCCTCAGTATTCAAATTAGCAACAAGAGGAGAAAGCTTAACACACGCATCTCCAGCTCCACACTGACGCTGGCCGTGTGAGCGCTGACTCGCACGCACCTGCCGTGGCCTGTGCTAGGTGTTCGCTGTGGAGCCAGGACAGGCGACAGAGGAGAGCAGAGAGGATGAGTGCGGAGTGGAGGACACCTGCAAGTCACCTGTGAAGAGTGCCTGCTTAGACAGAACCAAAGGCATCTTTGAGGTCAAGAGCAGGCACCTTGTTGTCAAACACTTGTGTTTAAATGCCAATTATACAGTCAAAGTCCTGCGACATCAGACAAAACAGTGGATGCCTAAGCCTAGTTTCCCTCAGCTATAAAATCAGGGGGGGGCTGCATAAGGTGCCTTACAGAACACTTAAAACTTTTATAAAACTCTGATTATAAAAATGTTTAAACACACATAGAAGTGGAGAATATAATGTACACCCATATACCCATTATGAATTTAATGATTAGTAACAGTTTGCCATATAGGCTTTGTCTTTTTGTTGCCATGGTATCATTTAGAGTAAATCACAGCTGTCATGACATTTTTCCTGAGTACTTCCGTATGCTAATAAGGACTTCTTACTACGTATCAATACCTAAAATTAATAATAATTCCTTAATATCATGTAATAATTATTAAATGTTCTCAACTGTTCAAAAAAAGTCTTTCCATGGTTTATCTGAACCAGGATCCAAACAAGGTCCACAGGTTGCAATGGAACGTTAAGCTGCCTAAGGCTGTCCTAACCTAGAACGGTCCACTCCCCAATCTCCCCAGCACCATCCACTTGAAGAAGAAATGGGTCCCAAATTCTGGATTTGTTTTGGTGGTTTCTTCCTGGTGTCATTTAATGTGTTTCTATACCTCCTGTATTTCCTGTCAAATGTCCTGTAAGTTAATTAAACCTAGAGGCTTGGTTAGAGTTGCTGTGGGCAGGAGTCATGTGGCCCCACACTGTGGTACCTGGTGTCCAGCTGCCCAAACCCCTCCTGCCAAGCACACATTTGTGGCAACAAGTGATCACTCAGGTGAATGAATTCCTTGAACATGTAACATAAACGAAAAGAGCAGGGCAATGTTAGAGGGATTTCATAGTTAATGAGACTTTGTCAGCAGCTGACACCAACCCCAAGAATACCACCAGAAGTGGGAGGCCGAGGCTGGAGGATCGATCAAGGTCAAGAGGTCGAGACCAGCTTGAGCAAGACACCATCTCCACCAAAAATAGAAAAAAATTAGCCAGGCATGGTGGCTCATGCCTGTAGTCTCAGCTACTAAGGAGGCTGAGGCAGGAGGATTGCTTGAGCCCAGGAGCTTGAGGTGCTGTGAGCCAGGCTAATGCCATGGCACTCTAGCCCAGGCAACAGAGAGAGACTGTCTCAAAAAAAAAAGAAAAAACCACCAGAAGCCAAAAACGCAACAGGATTATACAGGCTAGCAAAGGAGGATTTGAAGGACTGGGGTGGACAACAAGCCTTGGTCCAATGCAACTTTTCCCATTGTACACTATAAATTCATCATTATTCTAAGAAATTAAGTTAGAACCTAATAAATCTCTCTCATGCTCACTCCACAGCAAGAAAATAGGGACGCTAAAGCATGGTTTAGGTGACCACAGGACCCAGACATTTCTCAACCTTTCACAACCTGGAGAGGACTCACTGGCCATGTTCCCACCGTGGGTATGATGCCTGCCGTACATACTATTTTCTTGTCTTCTCAGTGAAGTTGGAAATAGCTGTCAGCAAGACCTGCTCTATATTCTTTGTACTAAATTCTTATACTAAAAGGATCAGTCTTCCTGGAAAACTTGGTATTAAAAGTAATATTCCTATTTTCCTTCCCTCTACCACTTGGACACCCTGTTTATTTTGTATGTGCATTATCTTAAGAATCAGCAGAAATGTGATTTATTCCAGAATCCCTCACCCTCAGGAGGAGGAGGATGGGTGCAGGGGAGCACAAGGTTAGGGAGCACCCAGAACCAGCAGTGGCAGAAGGAAGAAGAAAGACATGGGCACAGAGGCAGTAAATGGGACTCCCATGGGGCAGCGGGGCTTCACACAGCCACTAACAGCCACTAGTGCTCTTAAATGCCACACGTCTGCCCAAACCAGGCTTTCGTTACAACTGCTGCTGTGTGCAAAGCCTGCTGCCTCCTAGCCACACAGATCTGGGGCCTTTTCACTTTTATGCATACGTGATAGTTGTACACATTTATAATACACATGTGATATATGTGCATGCAATGTATAATGATCAAATCTGGATTATCAGGATATCCCTCACCTCAAACATTGATTGTTTGTGTTGGGAACATTCCAAATCTTCTCTTTTAGCTATTTTGAAATACACGATAAATTACCATTAACCAAGGTCGCCCTATTGTGCTACCAAACATTTGATCTTATTCCTTCTACCTAATGGTATTTTCCAAATGGTCTCTGACAGACTCACTCCCACACCTCCAAGCACCTCAAAACCAGTTCAACACACCCGGTAACAAGGAGGCCTGGGCGGAGGAGGATCTCTAATGACCGTCAGGTGACAAGCTTGCACTGATTTCACTCTAGGCCAAGTACAATAAGCAGACAGGCAGCAAACACCAAGGAGTGGGCACCTGCTTCCACATGCCAACATGCAACCAATGAAGTCAATGGAGAAAACCCTTCTCAGCCCCACCCAAACCAAATCCAAGCATCATCATCCTGGCTCTTTCCAGGAGGGTGGCCAGAACAGCACCATCAAGACAACCATGGGCCATCTGCCCAGGCAGCCAAGCAGGGGGCCTCTGTGGGCCCTCCTCAATCAATCCCGAGCACTCAATGCCCTTGTTCCCACCTGCCTTCTCCGGTCTAGTTGAGAACAACCCCCTTCTCCGCAGGACTTCTGTGGGGCTCTTGCATGGTCTTTCTGCCTCCTGGCTCCCCTCAAGACAGACCCAACACCCTGCTGACTAATCTGGAAAACCCAGACTGGCACTTGAATGAATGGCAAACAATCTAACATATAAATCAAAAGCCACAAAAATATCCAAGCTTGTTAAAACCAATTCCACTTCTAGGAATCTATCCTAAATAAATGTTAAATTTGGCAAATGGTTTGTGCTACCCAAAATATTCAACAGCAGCATTCCTTACGTGCAAGCTCAGCAGAACAATTAAGTTGCTGTGGCACATTAACTCAATGAAGCATCATGGACTCAACAACAATGCGCTGATAGAGACTCGTACAAATGCAATTGAGTTTGTCTACTGCTGCCTCTGGGAAACATGACATCAGATTAAAACCTTGCGTCCGAGTTCTAAAATCAAAGTTATGTGGGGAAGGGTGGTCATATACCAAAGCAATTAGAAGTGAGGTATAAGAGGCTCATTACCTGCCATTTGGGAAAGACATAAAATTAGACATTAAGACACTGCTGACAAGGAAGACAAACAGTAGTTTTTAGTATAAGCTCCAGTCAAAAGTGGCAACTGCAGATATAAAGTGTGAAGAGATCTTTTCCTACATGGACACTCCCAGGCAGCTCCTGCGTGACCCCATGGGACCGTCTGCACCCGGTGACCGAGGACTTCCCTCAGCAACAGGGAGCAGAGGGGAGTAACACGCAACAACCCAGATCCTCACAACGTCTTGTTAAATAAAGGCAGCTGGCTACAAATCTGAAGACACAATATAATTTAAGTGATATAAAAAATTATGTATAAAAAGTCCAGAAGAAACTACAATCAACTTTATAATCAAGAGGCAGAAGAAAACCGTGGATAACCCTAAATCACAGTTATAACTAATCAAAACAAAAATGGATTTAATACAAGCTATTTACTTCATTAGATGCAACATTTAGAAACACATTTATAAGTGGCAGCTAGAAGTATAAAAGATGTTTGTGAGCACTAATAGCAACATGGGGTTGACCGAAATGGCCCCAAAGCGACTACATGCTAAATAAAGTAAAGCCCCCTGTCTCCTGGCTCACACCCTTCCTGTCCCCAGGGCTCATTCCTCCCAGCCAGGACTGGAGGTGATTCCTGATTGCGTAGGCAGGGAGCAGGGGGGCAGGGTGAGACAGGAAGGACGGTCACACACTACAGCAGACAGGCTAACTTCGTGGATCCCAGCAAGCCACCAGCTAATCCCGACATATTTTCACTCATCTTTGGCAACGTTATTTTTTTTTTCACATTAACACATCACTTATTTCCATTTTTCACCAGTTAGATTGCAAACAGTTATTTCAAAGATGACTGGACACCAGAATGACTTGGCTCGGGCTTGGGTGGCAGGTCTACCTTTTTTTCCCCCGTTTTGGGCATTTTCCATATTATCACTAAACACGCGTGTACTGCCTTTGAGGCCAAAAAAAGGGAAAAGAATATTGATGCTGAGTTCACAGTGTCCTCAGGATGTCACTTCAGTCGCCCGGCGGGACAGCATCCCTGGCCTCACTGCCTACCACCACCACATCTACACCCAAACGCAAACCTCTCCCCTTTCCGGCACCCCATCCTTCAAACACACTAGACTCAATCGGAACACACGCCCTCGTCTTCAAGGGACTGAGAAGCCCCGTCTGTGACGCCATCCCCAGCTACCCCCGACGTTCCCTCACGGGAACTTCCTGGGACTCCCCGCTTACCTGTGCGAGCACTACACACCAGCACTGCCACTGCTCGGTGAGGATGTAAATTTTTCAGCAGCTGACTAACTGACTGAGCACAGAGAAAGGAACAATGCCTTCACCCACATTCAACCCATCTGCTAACATACCATCATGATAATCTTCTAAAAAAAAATTAAAGTTTTTCAGCCCAAGCCCCTGCTCAAGTGTTAAAACCAAAGGCTTCTCTGCAAGACAGCAGAGTTATCTCCCTTGACACAACCTTTAAAGTCCGAGGGCTTCATAAAACAAACCACACTTGCCTAAATCACCTTAAAAATACTAACAATGGGCCGGGCGCGGTGGCTCACGCCTGTAATCCTAGCACTCTGGGAGGCCGAGGCAGGAGGATTGCTCGAGCTCAGGAGTTCGAAAGCAGCCTGAGCAAGAGCAAGACCCCATCTCTACTATAAATAGAAAGAAATTAATTGGCCAACTAATATACATAGAAAAAATTAGCCAGGCATGGTGGTGCATGCCTGTAGTCCCAGCTCCTTGGGAGGCTGAGGCAGGAGGATCACTTGAGCCCAGGAGTTTGAGGTTGCTGTGAGCTAGGCTGACGCCACAGCACTCACTCTAGCCTGGGCAACAAAGCAAGACTCTGTCTCAAAAAAAAAAAATACTAATAATGAAGGTTTCCTACAACATACCAACAATCAAGACTTAGTGCTGTGCTCAGATTGCCCTGGGGATGCAGACACCTTTGGGAACCATGGAGCAGCCCAAACAAATCACATGGCAGGAGCCCCAAGAAGGCTGGCAAAGCTTTCTGAGACACCCAGACACTACCACCTTCAGCAAACACCCAGAGAGGCCTTGCCTTGGAAGAAAGATGGGGAGGGTAGCCAGGTCAATTCAAAGAAAAATTCTAGTATGAGTGGTGACAGGCAGAACTGAAAAATTAAGTTCCGAGCCCTGAGTCACATGGTTGATCAGCTAATTAACTACAAAGAATGAGAAGAGAATAATCAGAGTGGCATGAACAGATAAGAAATTTGGATTCTAGTCTCAGCCCTACCAAAACTAGACAGATGAACTTTGATAAATGGGCCTCAGAGCTTAAAATAAGGAGAATGAACTAAATACTTAAGTCCTAAAATTACACAACCCCAAGAAAAGCGCCAACAGCCAAAGTGGCTGCAGAGATCAGAAGCAGCCATGGAGGTGATGCAGCATTCCCAAGGTAAAGACACTGCCAAGCAGCAAACACGCCCGACACTAGCCAGCTCTGCTAGCTTGGAGATGGGGGATGAAAACTGACTAGTCACTTACTGGCCAGTGGATACCAAGGCCATCAGTGTGTTCCCAGCCCTGAAGTCACAGCCACCACTACAATTCAACAGTGACACGGCCAGTTTCATCACTCTTAGAAAAGGTCTACCTGCAACTTCAGCCACGACGTCAACACCTCTGTACTAGCCAACGGCTTACAACAGTGACCTTGGGTCCCAAGAGACAGTTAACTGTACGCTTTGGGTACTGTGTTTAACAAGGTGGGATGTCTACTAAATACTAAGATGACTTCCACGTAAAAAGAAGAAACGATGTTTGGCCTATAAATGTATCCGAGTTAAATATGTGTTTGCTTAGAAATTTTTGGCTCAGAAAAGCCAATTCTCTGTGAACCACAGGCCTTTTCACCGTGTACAGGCTACTGTGAAGAGCAGATTGTGGGAGATGGAGTTAAATCAGAGATACAAGGAGCAGAGTCCCTAGGATTTTTAATCTGTACTAAAAGGTTCATCAAGTTGAAGAGTGAACAGGGGAAAAAAGGAATGCAGGAAAAAAAACAACTAGGAGAATATAACATATGACAAGTAAAAACAGAACAAAGGATTACCATTTGGTCTCATACTGACAAGGAGCATACCCTAATTGAGAACCAAAAATAGTATGACAGGAAGAATATGTAGCAATTATTAAAAGCACTGCTTCTTCCTTGCCCTGCTCTTACATTTCTGTGGACTTTTGCCATTTCTCTTGTGGGATCCTCCTGTCTACATGCCCCTTAAATAGCGTAGAGTCCTGTGCACTTGGACTTAACCTCCACCTGTGCCCAGTGTCCCAACCCATCCCTGCAGAAACACACCCATCCACCACCTTCCATTCCTCCAAGTCGCCTTTTCATAGCTCCTCCCTGTGTGCCACCATCACCAAACATACAACGTCTAAGCTAAAAAACTCAATAATGGTGGGCTAGAGAAATAAAGGATATTAAATGATGCAGAAGGAGACAAGAAAACTGTTTTTAATCAAGGCTGGATAATTACCTTTATGACCTACCTCAAAGTGCCAACTTCATTCCAGCCAGAAAAGGCTACAAAGGTTATAGAAAAAGAGAACCCTCTAGACCCAGGAAAGGCAAAGCGCTGGCCCTCACCTTTGAGTCGTAGGCCGACTGTTTGATGACCTCGGGTGCCATCCAGAAAGGGGTGCCCACAAAGGTGTTCCTTTTGATCTGGGTGTCCGTCAGCTGGCCCGCCACACCGAAGTCAGCCAGCTTCACCTCGCCGTGCTCAGACAGCAGGACGTTGGCGGCTGCAAAAGAAAGCCATGGGTGCCTCCAGACGTCACATACTGCATACTGCTCTGTCTACCGTCATTCGGGGACGTGTGTGTCTCTCCCCAGCTTCATCATGTGTCCAAGAAGAACAGGCACCAAGGGCGACCCGTTTTCTCAGACCCCCCCAAAGCCAGCCCAACCCAGGCAGGTTGAAGGAGCAGAACAAATTCCCTTGAGAAGTGCAGTTTAACTCTACCACCTTAAGTATTTTAAAGAAACGAAAAACAAGACGTGTTCTTACCTTTAATATCTCTATGGATTTTTTTCTCTGAATGGAGATAATCAAGTCCTTTCAGTATTTCTCTTAATATAGTAGCGATCTGAGTTTCATCTAAAGGGCCAGGTTCTAACTAAAATAAAAATAAATTATTAAAGTTAAATGCCATATGTAGTCTGAGATAAAAGAGACAGTTTCCATGTTAAATAGACAAGGATAATTAAAATCTAAAAACTTCTTCAATTAACACAGGCATTTTGCCCAATCAAAATCTATGATAGGACCCTTTTAAAAAGCAAAGAACCAGAGTGGAGCCAGTGGGAAGGCCCCCAGTGGGCCATGCCAGTGGCCTCCAAGATGGCCCATGAGGAAAGGGGTGGGGTGTGGGGGGGGGAGGTTTCCAGTCCAGGAACAAACAGCCCAGAAACTCACAGTACACTCTAGGACATGGGGCGGCTGGGACCTGCCCTAACATACTTGGTTTCCTTACCAGAAGGTTCATCCCAGGTAACCAAAAGCACGAGTCATTGAAAGGAGAAGGCCTGGGAGCCAACCACTCTCTGAGGCCACCCCTGCACCAGAATTTTCTTAATCTGTATTATAAAGCCCCCAACTTGGGGGACGCAGCTGAAACAATTCCAAATAATTTGGGATTTGTTATGTGTTATAACTATTATTATTTCTATCATCCCTGATGAGGTAATAACTGTCCCAAATCACTTTTATTCTGAGAAATTCAAAAGAACTGTTACTATTGATTGTATAAAGTTGGAAGGAAGAAGTGGGGGTACACAGAGCCCCAGTTAAAGGAGAAAAGCCAGGTGGCTGAGCTCAGTTCAGACCGTACAGGAAGCCCCGTTGCCTGCAGGGTAGGGAGTGCATCGCAACTAAAGCTCACAGGTTATGGAGGAAGACGGCTGACGCTTCCCGAAGGACCCCTAACAGACTGACAGAGGGGCAGACGTCCAGTGAAGGAGATTCCTTTTTCTTCTGAATGGTGGTACCCCTTGTTTCCAGACTTGAAAGTGAATGCCATCCTAACCCAGATCCACACATTTTAGGCAACAGGAAGACACAACCGGGTGACTTTCACTAAATTTTAACGGGACTCAGGTTTGTCTGAGAGCAGAACACAGCTGGGATCAAGCCACCCCCTGGGTTTCTCCCACTCGGGACCCAGATGCAAGAGAACATGCTGGTCGCTCTAGTTCGACCTCCCATCACACGCTCAGAGAGTCTAACTGCCTAGGTCTGCTAGGCTGCCGGGAATGTTCCCAAACTATAAGATATTGTCCAAAAATTACCTCAGACTAAGACAGTATGAGGCACACTTTGTTCCCCCAGAACCTAGTTTTTCCCAAAGTATTTTGACCAAGAGTCTTATTTTCAGGAAATACATATCAAAACTACTATTCCAAAGAACACAATTTGAAAAACCCTCCCTCACATACATCTACTGTCTCTGGAAAACACTTTTCTTATCACCTGCTCTTGCTCACAGCAAACCATGGTGCAGAGGATGCCTCCCCCCCAGGGAGTCCCCACTGAGCAGAGAATCAGTGACCAGCCCTCCCCTCCACAATCAAGTCTCTGAAAGACACTGCCTCCTGTCATTACCAAGGGGAGGGGAAAGTAAGAGCCGAGGAAAACTAATTGAAAATCTTCCCCTAGATAATTAAGAGCTGGCTCTGTGATTAATCTGTATGGTTATACCCTTTTAAATCTGGCCTGAACACCATCCATCATTGATTTATATGCCCACGGGGGACCAAGGGAGAGGGGAGAAAAGAGACCATTTACTTGGGGGTAAATCCTTCCTGGCATCAAAATTCACTACAAAAGGCACTCAGCTGCTTTCTACCCTGGCCCCCGCAGAGTTCCTCAGTGGGTGAGCCCAGCCTGAGCTAAGTTCTCAGAGTGACACTCTATTTACTCTTAGCATTCCCTGTCACTACCGTGTCTACACACTATCACCACGGTGGTCTCTATCATTAAGGGGACTGTGGACTCTTCAAACAGTGGTCTGTAAGACAGAATGCCATGAGAAACATCCAGACTTCACCCCATCTCTGGTGACTGTTACCTTCCCCTGGCCGCCTCTGTCCTCCCCTTCTTCTTCCAAACTATGGAGGACCAGCCAGGCACACGCCAGCCACCTGGAGACCACACGGCCCACACTCTGCAGCAGCAGGCTGTGGTCACGTGACTCGGTGCTCTCCGAAGGACCATGAGCGAGAGTGCCACATGGCCTTCCTGGGTGGGCGTGGAAGCACTGGCAGCTGCAGATGACAACGGGCAAATGGGCGAAGACTCGCCGAGGGAAGCCATGAGCTAAAGACAGGAGAGGCCCCGCCAGCACCAGTCCCTGACGCCCCAATGTGGGGGAGGAAGTCAATTTCTATCTCATGTGAGACACTGTTTGGAGCTGCCACGACAGCAGCTTGCCTGACATTAATGAATACGCCGTCTCATTTTTAAGAAATCACGTGTGTACTCATTTTTAAGTTTGTCAAACATCTCTGATCAAGTGACCAATTACGCAGCACAGTTCCTTCGTAATTAGGTTCCCAGGTTGTCCCTTAGATTCTCTGGCAACACTGACTGATCTTTTAATCACCTAAAACCTTTCAGCCTCAGACCCTCAGTAGCTAATCCTCCTCCAACTCCCCCTCCTCCCCCTCCCTTCTCCTCCCCCTGCTTTGCTTTCCTTGTAGAAAGGAACCTTCTAACAAATGACGACACTGACTGCCCCTCCTCAGAACGCCGTCCCGAGAGTGGGGCAGTCTTCCTTTCTGCTTAGGACAACACACCCATGACTAGAGCACCACCTGACACACAGTAGGCACACGACAAATATTTGCTGGAAAAAAAATGCTTTCACTCACCAAGCTACAAAAATCTACCACATTGGCCGGGCGCAGTGGCTCACGCCTGTAATCCTAGCACTCTGGGAGGCCGAGGCAAGCAGATTGCTCGAGGTCAGGAGTTCGAAACCAGACTGAGCAAGAGCAAGACCCCCGTCTCTACTATAAATAGAAAGAAATTAATTGGCCAACTAATATATAGAGAAAAAAAAAAATCAGCCGGGCATGGTGGCACATGCCTGTAATCCCAGGTACTTGGGAAGCCGAGGCAGGAGGATTGCTTGAGTCCAGGAGACTGAGGTTGCTGTGAGCTAGGCTGACGCCACGGCACTCACTCTAGCCTGGGCAACAAAGTGAGAATCTGTCTCAAAAAAAAAAAAAATCTACCACATTGTAAGTTAGAATATCTTGAACTCTTCTAAGTCATGGAACCTTTATTAAAGGCAGCTGAAACTTGAGAGTATATTAACATAAATAGTTTTCAGATTGTATTCCAAAGTCTGCAGTGTTTCCTCAGAGTGACCTTGGAAATCCTAAGAACATTTAATTTTATTATTTCTCTTTTAAAATTAAAACAAACTGGCCGGGCGCGGTGGCTCACGCCTATAATCCTAGCTCTTGGGAGGCCGAGGCGGGCGGATTGCTCAAGGTCAGGAGTTCAAAACCAGCCTGAGCAAGAGTGAGACCCCGTCTCTACTAAAAATAGAAAGAAATTAATTGGCCAACTGATATATATATAAAAAAAATTAGCCGGGCATGGTGGCTCATGCCTGTAGTCCCAGCTACTCGGGAGGCTGAGGCAAAAGGATCGCTCGAGCCCAGGAGTGTGAGGTTGCTGTGAGCTAGGCTGACGCCATGGCACTCACTCTAGCCTGGACAACAAAGGGAGACTCTGTCTCCAAAAAAAAAAAAACATTTAAAAAAAAAAAAATTAAAACAAACTGTGCACACTCAAATAAGTGCATTCAAAATAAAACATATGCCTACCTTAGTCATGACTCTTAATATCTCCTTATTCTTTGCACTAGATCCAAAATTTGCATCTTTTAAGCCAAAAAGGATACAGCACCAGCAACAAAGGAGAATGGGTTTCTAAAGGACACCCTTTCTGCCAGCTGAGGAGACACACATGCCCTGACACCGTAACTGGGCAGTCCCTCCACAGGACAATGTCCCAGCAACTCACAAAAGTTCATCTGGGTTTATCCCAAATGTCAAGTAATAAAGCCACTCAGTCATGTCTCTCCCTTTGTCTGATACTCAAAGCCCAAGAACTTTTGGTTTCCTTTTTGAGACAGGGTCTTGTTTTATCTCCAAGGCTAGAGTACAGTGGTGTCAGCCTAGCTCAAAGCAACCTCAAATGACTGGGCTCAAGTGATCCTCCTGCCTCAGCCTCCCAAGTAGCTGGGAACACAGGCACAAACCACCACGCCCAGCTAGTTTTTCTATTTTTTGGTTAGACAGGGTCTCGTTATATTGCCCTGGCTGGTCTCAAACTCCTGGCCCCAAACAATCCTCCCGCCTCAGCCTCCCAAAGTGCTGGGATTATAGGCATGAGCCACTGCACTCGGCCCCAAGATTTATTTATTTATTTTATTTATACGCCACATTGTTCGCAAGTTGGTTTTGAGGCCAACCAATCTTCAACCTGGGGCAAAGTCACTTCCGCTCTCCATGTGGCCCTCCTGAATCTGTAAAATGGGAAGGGAAAATCCCACTTTCAGTTCTCTTCAGCTCTGACCTTGTTGCTAGTACCACAGCGGGGCCCGATGGTGTGGATATGGAAAAGAAGAAAGGACGGTGACACCACACAATTCCCTGCCTACCCCAAAGCACGCCCCTTCCCATGATTAAAAGTGTGGCCTCTTCTTTGAGGGGCCCTGCTTCTTTGAGCAGGCCAACAGAAAAAGGGCAGAGGATGTAAAAAGAGACAACAAAGTCAGGGGTGGGGGAGGCCCGGTGGGGCCGGGGAAGGCCACAGGTGCTGCAGCGGCAAGGCGAGGTCCAGAGCCCAGCTGTGTGTGCCAGCTGGGACCCTGGCCTGCAAGGGTCTCTGTTCCCTCATCGACAAAATGAGATGAAGAGAGACTGTCAAAAGGGAATACCTGTCTCTTGTCACCAGCACCATTCATGTACAAAGTAGATGGTGGTTTGATGAGATTCTCACACCATATGGGATTTTTTTTTATCAACTGGAGAGTTCTACGATTCCTTCCAACCACAATGCCTAAACTTTCAGACTGCAATTCAAAGAAATCCAAAGAAAAGTGCCACCAAATAAACTACCATAACATTAAGAACGAACACACTGAAGCATTTGGAGACTAGAATTGCTGTTCTGAAGGACTACAATCAGAAAAAGAGTCCTTGTAAACAACTTTATATATGGCACAAATGAAATCCATTTAAGATAACAGTAAATCTAATTACACACAATGAGGTAATTTTCTACATATTTCCCAAAAGAGTGAAAAAATAAAAAGGTTTTTATGGAAAGGAACCAAAGCAAGTCATAAAATTAATCCAGCTATTTTGTTTTTCCCATTCTAACATAATTGTTTATACCATATTAACTTTTTTCTTGAAATCTTCCTTTTTAACACCATTTTGATCAGCTGTTTATAACAGTATGTAATTTTCTAAATTGGGTACCATTGCCTTCAAGAGATACAGTTTTAGAAGTTTACCTTCCCCAAAACTACCAACTGTTATTACGGTAAGAAAAAAAATCCTCTTAAAGGGGATTTCTTTCCTTCGTGACTAAAATCTGTGTAGACTGTAACTAAAAAACTCAGCTTCCCTCAGCTCTTGCTATGACAGCAGTGAAAACCACAGACCCGTCATTCTGGTGACTTCCTATTAGGCAAGACCCAAAATGACAGACTCGGTCTGTCCTGGGAACCCCTGTCTCTGAGGCCGTGTTCACGGGAGGGGTAGGGAGCAGGGCTGATGACATCGCCTTACTGCATAACCGCAGTGGCCGTGAGATGGCGAGTGCGGAACAGCTGTGTGACGTCTGTAAAAAAGCACGTGCTTTTGCCCATACGGTGTTCCAAGGCCGACTTGAGCCATGCTGTGGTACGTGCTAGTCACTTGTGAGCACTCCATCAGAGCGCAACAGGAAGCCACGATTCACACGACAAGCAAGTCACAGACTGGGGCTGTAAAGCCACCCTCCATCTGGCCTCCACTACCTTATGTATGGACAGGTGGCCACTAATGGCACCTGAGGGGGTCCAGAGGAGACAACACTGTGTGGCCAGCCCCACCCCCACGCCCCAGCACCAGGGCAAGCAGGGAGCAGAAGAGCGGCCTGACCACCGTCTGACACACAGCATCAGACCTCGAATCACACCCTGCCTCTTACTTCCAAAATGAAAATATTATGCGCTTATTTTGGAAGCTAGGTTACCATATGAAATACAAAAGTTAATAAAACCAAGTTCTGGAAAATAAGCTAACCAACTGTTCTCAGGTGGGATAATCCTGGGCAAAATCCTCATTGCTTCTAGGAATTAATTCACTGGATTCCCATGAAACAAACAAACAAAAAAAACACCTAATTTCAAAAGTAGACCAACAGGCCGGGTGTGGTGGCTCACGCCTATAATCCTAGCACTCTGGGAGGCCGAGGCGGAATGGATCGCTCAAGGTCAGGCATTCGAAACCAGCCTGAGCAAGAGCGAGATCCCATCTCTACTAAAAACCGAAAGAAATTAATTGGCCAACTAAAAATATATAGAAAAAATTAGCCAGGCATGGTAGTGCATGCCTATAGTCCCAGCTACTCAGAAGGCTGAGGCAGGAGGATCACCTGAACCCAGGAGTTTTTGAGGTTGCTATGAGCTAGGCTGACTCCACGGCACTCTAGCCCGGGTGACAGAGTGAGACTCTGTCTCAAAAAAAAAAACAAAGTAGACCAAAAATTTTCAGTAATATATAAGAAGCAAAAACACATAAGGAATGGTTTAGTTTCTTGCAACATGAAAGAGGGAAACAGAAATGGATACATACAAAATTTTCCTTAAAAACCAAGGGCTACTATGGAAAGGCTTTGATGTATATTTTGCATCCAACATAATACTTACTAGATCTAGTGCAGAGCCTCCACCAAGATACTCCATTATTATCCATAATTTTGTATCCTATAAAACAAAAAAAAGGAGAATTATTTTTAAACAAATAGAATCAGAAAAGAAATTAAATAATCAAAGGGTATTGTTCAGTATTGTTTTGGAACTAGAAAGTTTTATGCACATTCACCTACAAGGAGAGCGTGTCAAAGCGACCATTGCGTAGCAACCCGAGTGCAGGAAACCTCCACTATTACCTGGGAGGTGGCGTGGGGTGTGGCCGGGGGTGGGTGGAGGGGGGGAGGCTGCTCTGGCTCTTCTAGGGTGCAAGTTCCAGACCTGCTGACCCAGAATCCCAGAATGGGAACCACGGGCATTTCTGTCTTTAAGCCACCTCACTGAGTGACCTCAGGCCCAGCAGTGGCAGGAAACCAAAGCCTTGAGAAGCCGATCAAGGCCAGCAGCAGTGCCCACAGGGGCAGGGGTGGAGCCTCCCTTCCTCTTCAGGTGGCTGTGAGCAAAGGGAAGGCCATGCTCCTGAGCAGGGCTGCCCAACGTGGCCTCCAACTCACTCGCCTGCTTTTGTAGAACAGGAGCCAATTTCTGACACCTCCAAATGCTGCCACAGTCTCCCCCTCCAGGGAGCTCTCCAGAAAGCAGCCCGGGCCTAAAGCACAGCTCGTCCACTTAGCCCTGGCTCACCACGGCACCCGGCTCTGTCTTCTTCTGTGGTCTCTTGAGGCTACTCAGGCCTCTGGCTTCCAGAGTTCTTTTTAAAACACAAATCCCAAAGTGCTACTCTCTAGGAAACAAGCCAGCAAACATCCCCACCCCCTTCCTGGAGGGAGGCAGGCAGGATAGCTTGACCAGACAGGGCTGAACCCCACGACTCCTTTATGACCGGGAAGGGAAGTTACTTCCTCTCTCTAAGCTTATGACTGGGGGCTTCACAGAGTGCCTGCCCCACAGCAAGCAGCTAAGAAAAGACAGCTAGTGGCACATGTGACCCGCCATGGTGTTAGGGGTCACCAGCATTCTTATGTCACATGCTGCACTGCTGACTCAACACTTGATGGCGGCTGTTGTATGCCTTTAAAAGAAGAAAAAACAAACCTTCCTAAGGCTCTCTGGTCCCTTCAGGTCAGAACTGTGCCCTGTCTCTTAAAACATACCAAGGAAGACCCCTCCCTGCAGCCCTCGGGCAGTTCTCCTACACTTATGCCAACCGGGCAAGTTCTTTGGGAGCATGTCCCAATTTCCCAGGCCTTTTTGCTTCCGCAGTTTCCTCAACAAAAGAAAACTGTTCACCTGCCTTCCTTCCCCAAAAAACGGCAGGCTTCCAAAACAAAGATAATTTTAATCTGAATAATTTCTTTTTTTAAAATGACCTCATCATGTAATTTTCTCATAGAAAAAATAAAATTATTTAACAAATTCAGAAGTCAAAATGTAAAAGGTACCACAATGTATACAGTGAGATGTCTCTCTCCCGCCCTTGGCCCCTCAGTACCCAGCCAGCAACGCCCGCCCTGCCCCGGCAAGGTATCACGACGTCTCGTGTAAGATATTTTACACCTGTACAAGTAAAAACCTATAACATTCCATACACACTTTTGTACACCTTGCTTTTTACCTAAAGTTTCTTAGAGAGCATTCCATATCTGTCCATAAAGCACTTCCACATTTTTTAAGCTGTAATTAGCCCTTGCCCTACTGATATCAGGTTGTTTCCATGGAAACATGCTATCACGAGCTAGGTGTCCATGAAAACCTCACACATGGGTCAGTTCTGCCAGGTCCTGCTGGGTCAAGGGAATCCATTTGAATCTACGCCAACCTATGGAATCAAACTTTTGCCATTTTAGAGGCTGAATTGTGCTTCTCCTCACCACCACCTGCAATTCGTATGTTAAAATACTAACCCCCAACACCTCAGAACACAAGTGTATTTGGAGAAAGGGTCATTAACACACTGACTGCCACACTAGAAAAAAGAAATATTTCCCGAGGCCTACATTGTTTTATTAATAAGAAATGATTCGTTCTAATTTGTTATTTTTTATTGTTTTCTGTGTGAGAGTTATATGCAATGCAATCCACGTTTTTAGAATTAAACTGCCCATTCACAAGTAATGGTCTTGGGATGCTCATGTTTGTAGCTATGACTTGGACAGTGCAAAAGCAATTATGTATCTTCAACATTTGTACCCCCACCATATTTTGAAATAAAATATAGAGGAAATAAAAAGAATCAAATGTCAATATTAATAGTAAAAATAAGAACAAGATAAATAAGATAAATAAAAATAAGATTGTCACGAACCAACTGCAGGGTTTTTGCTTCACAAGGCTCCAGGCTCATTGAGTTAACTACAATTCACATGGCAGTTAATGAGTTAAAGGAGTGATTAACTTAGACTGGGGTCACTGAGGTAGACCTTATCCAATATGGCTGGTGTCCTTAAAAGAACAGGAGATTAGCTCACAGACACACACACACAGAAGACCATATGAACACAGAGGGAGAAGATGGGCATAACCAGCCCTGCCCATACCTAGATCACAGAATCCTACCCAGACTCCAGAGTTGTAAGACGATGAATTTCTGCTTAAGCCACCCAGTCTGCAGTGCTTTGTTTATCGCAGCCCTAGCAAATTAAGGCAGTCCTCACTGTCAATCTATTTGGGGGAGGGCGGTATCTCAGGAAATCTTTATCTTTCTCTTATTATAAGGTGGGACATCTTTATACACTGAAGAGTTATGTGTATTTTCTTACCTGTGAACTCTCTGTTCATATCCTTTGTCCATTATTCTATTGAGTTACCAACCTTTTTAAAAAGTAGGAACTTTTAACATATTAGGGAAATTAGCCTTCTGTAATATGAGCTGCAAACATAGCGTTTTCCCCATTTGTCATTAGCTTTTGCTTGCAGAAATTAATTTAATGTAGACACCAGGTCAAAGATGATACCACTTTTAGGCAAACTTGCCCCGAAGTGTCTGGAAGCACTTCCTTAGAGTCCGGAATTGGTGCCTGACTGAAAGCCAGGGCTCCCCACATAGCCACCTTCGCAGGGGCTACACAGACATCAAGTGACTACAGAAAGGTTTAAAAAAGGTAAATAAGAAAGGATGGATTCCACACAGTTAACAATGAACAAGATTTTTAAAGCAGAAATTTGAAAATGACAATATGCATTATATCTAATGCATTGCATTCAGAGGCCTCCAAACCCACTAACTTCAACAAAAGGCCGAGAACAAGATATATAAACAATGTGATAAGTTTTGCTAAAACAATTTAGGGTCACAGACTTCCTTAAGAACATGGTGTTGTGTGTGTGTGTGTGTTTTAAGGCACCTTTTTGTGCAGCTGATGTAAATGAACATGAAGCATCAAGGCCTGGGTTGAATCCTGCCTCTCTGCTCACGCCACCTCCACGATACCCACCCCCAACTTAGCCACAGCCTCAGCCTCTGTCAGCCTCAACATCCCCTCTGCACAGGCACTAAACAGCATGTACCCCAGCGGGGCGCTAATGAAGATGAAGTGGATACACAATTCGTGCCCATCAACTCTAACTATTACCATTGCATTAACTCCAGACTGTCCCTGTCCACACACCAGGCCCACTGGGGGAAGCCCACGCCCCATCCCCCATTCACCTTCAGAGTGGCTCCCCACAGACCCAGCCCACCATTCCTGTCCCCAAAGAGCTCATTTAATTGTTCCTCTCTCAGATGCTAGAATTTCTTAAATGATTCCTGCAATTCATAGCACACCTATTACGTACACAGTATTGTTGAAAAGGAATATAAAATGAATAAAATCTAGGCTCTAACTTTAAAGAACTTTTGATGATAGGTAACTAGACAAATAATTACGCTCTGACAGCCTGTGGTAGTTACCACAAAAGGGACACGGAAGGCTGGGGGTGCTCAGAAGACCCACCTGACCTCCAGGAGGAGAGAAGTGGCATTTGAGCTGCACCTTGAAGGCTGTGCCCGACCAGCCTGGGGCGGGCGGCAGAGCTCACGTTTCTGACAGGCAGGAAAGTCCTGCTTAGCTAAGGCAGTGGAGGATGAGATGGACACCCTTGAATGCCAGTTGCAAGTTAATAAGTAATTATTAGCTTAATTTAATAAGCAATAGGGAGTCACCAAAACTTTTGCCAATAGAATAAACAGCCAGCCACTGCCTGCGAGACAGAACGAGTGGGGAGAAAAGGAAAGGAAGATGATCAGTCGGAAAATCAAAGGTCAGGGCAAGCCCAAAAGACATTGTAAAGGTGGTGCTGGTGAGCATCCACAATGCTTGGAGGTGGAAGGAAGAGGAGCTGGCATCAGAGACGATCAGTGCTCTGAGCCCAAGTAATGCCAGCTCTGTGAATGCAAACAGGAACAACCGGGTGGATGGGGGAGGAAGGCGGAGATGGTTCTTTGCGTGTTTGTAATATTGGGACATTCTGCTGGGATAACCTGAGCAGCAGCTAGAAATGTGGTTTCTGAAGTTCAGCAGAGAGGCTGGGAGTGGCACAGAGGTGACAATCAGTGCAGTGAAATGAGTGTGTGGAGACCCACTCAGAACTCCAGAGGTGGTACAAATACTATTTTAAGCTGAAGACATTTGAGATTCAACAAATGCACAAAGAAGCCTTCTTGGAGCTTTGCTTATCTGACTAAAAGCAGCAACTTCTGGGCGATGAGGGCTGCCATAAATTCCCTCTTAGGGCAGGTCTGCTACCAGGAGGAATAAACCCATCATAAATCCCTTCTCCTCCAAGTTTTGTGGCTCAGAAGACAAAAAGACCACTCATATCCATACAGACAAACATCATCATCAAGTTTCTTACCTCCTGTTTCCTCTCCTACAAACACATTTGTTCATAAGAGCGTTTTCCCCCCTCCTCTTCCTACTATGTTAGCTATACAAGCCTCTAACTTTAATCATTTAACAAGGTTTGCTAGTTCCTATACACGTGTGTATAAACCTTTTTCTCCTAACAATATGTCCTTTATCAGTTTAATTTGCAGGCCCCAAGGACTGGACCTAAGAAGGTAGAAGAAAATT